GGGGAGTCTCCGTGATGTACGTGTTTCCACAGATGGTTCTCTCGTCGTTTCTCTTGTTGTCGTATTCGTGGCGTTTTCTCTTTGCCTGTTTTTTTTTTAATCATCACCATTAAATGCTGCGGGAACTCCAAATGCTAAACTTCCTTCATCGAGGTGGTGCCGGGGAGGGGGGGGGGGCGCTGAACGGTCTGCGCAGGGTGAATACCGGACACTGCCGCCGTCGCCGATGCCGCGTCGACTGCGTTAACGTAAGCGTTTCAAAGAAGCCAATACAATATGACGGCAATAGCATCGTTTATATCTGCATATAGGAAATTTACAGAATCTCTCTCTCTCTCTCTATATATATATATACATATATCAGAGGACGAAACTTTACGTGAGCCAGGTTTCCCTTCTTATGACTCTTCTCTGTTGACGATCAAAATGCTTGTTCCTCTTTTGCGGTCCACTCTCCCCTTCTGACGATGATTATTGTTGCGATTTACGGGAGTACACACCGGCGGCTCGTGCGCACACGGACACATACCAAAGCAAGGAATTAACAAAACGCATCCTTCACAGACAGTGGGGTCTTCTTCTTTTCGTGTGACGGTGCAGTGGCCTTGCGGCGATCAAGACACAAAAACGCGGTACCGAGCTGATTCTTGCGGTTTATCAACATCCAACTGTAAACATATATATATATATATATATATATATAGTATTCCTTAAAAAGAGCAGTGTGAGGGCGAGAAAGGGGTTAGTAGTTCCACGATGCAGTGCGCACTGCTACGGCCGACCCCGCTGCTGCGGGCCTACCACTACGTTCACCCCAAGACCGGGCGTCCCATTCGGCAGTACCGCAAGTACGGTGACCCGCGCTACATCAACAACGAGGCCGCCCTCATTCACGGCCTCTTCGCCCTCATCACCACCGACTTCGGTATGGTGACCCAGTCGCAGCTGGAGAACGCCCGCCTCGCTATCCTGCGCCGCATGCCGCGTGGGTCCTTCGCGCTCACGATGCACACCGACTACGAGGAGTTCCCCGTCATGAAGAAAAGCCCAGAGTCGCGCATGGGGGCGGGTAAGAGCAACATCCACCACTTCGCCTACAAGTTCACCACCGGCGTGCCGCTTTTCGAAATTACGGCGCTGACGTCGCGACGGCTGAATCAGGCGGAGGCGGAAGGTATTTTCTTAGCGGGGCGGCCGTTTATTCCGCTCCAGACGGCGGTGGTACCTCGCGGGCGTGTAGATGAGTACCACGTCTTTCAATAGCAGGGGTGCGTCAACCGCCGCCGATCCAGGAGTCTGTGTGTGTGTGTGTGTTATGTCCTCAGCATTGCTGTTTGGTTGTCGTGGTGGTGGCGAGGGAGGTCGTATTCAGGTTGTTGGGTTTTGTACTGAATGGGAAATGCATTCGTGTATATAGGCGAGGAGGCGATTGTTGCTTCCTCTCACACGCACATCCACTTCCAAGTTTCAAAAATACGGAGATCAGAGAGAACAGAAATGAGAAGCGCCTATCAAGGCCTTTTGAGTGGCGTCACCAGTTTGTTATGCTACTCGAAGCTGTTTCTTCTTTTCTTTCTCCTCCTTCGCAAGTTGCGCATAGCTGACGTATCTGCGTTCCTTCTCAAGAACTGTAAGCGGGCGCAGCTGATCAACACTGAAATAGAAAAGGCAGCGCTTTCGGAGAAACAGTAAAAACCCTTTTGATGCGCTCTTTTTTTTTTGAACTCCTTTCGACTCTTCTTATACTCTTGTGCCTCTCCTCTCCTATCGATACTAATTGCTCCTACACCCATGCACAGCCAGAAGAAATAAAAATAATAAAAAGAGCTTCTACCTTTACAGCCTTAATCCGTGTTTCCAGTGCAGAGTTGTTAGAACTGTTTTTACTGTTTCTAAGTTCACAGACGCTGCTTTTGTTTGTTTGTTGTTGTTGCCACATTGATTAAGACATTCTTATACGCACACACGCACACATAGTACTTCAGTCTTTTGAACTCTGAATCCAGTTCTACTGCTCTTCTGCTCGTACAAGGAGAATACGCACATACGGTGTGTGTGTGTGTTTGGTGTTGAAGCTGCCGTTTTCTCAAAACTCTTTATTTCTTTTCTTTTTCTGGTTTTAGTATTGTACATAGCGTTGACAAACCATTCATACACCTTTCCTGTTCCCCATTTCAGCTCTGTTTTCTCTTCCATCGTACAATCACTTTTCGTCCTTTCCTCCTTCTTCTTTATTATTTTGTTGTTGTTGTCCTTTTTTTTGCTTAAGAGGAAATAAATACATTTTCTTCAACGATTACTTCTGTCATTTTGTTGTTTTTTCTTGTTCTGTTTTATTATTCTCCTGGAAGACATTTTTCTCTCCTTCTGCTTCCCTCAAACCTCTACACTCTCACACAACTTGTGTTTAACCTCCTCCTCAGCCACCGGCAGAGAGCGGAGACACCCCGCACCTTCCCGTGATTCCCCCGGCGTGTATTGTGTGGGTTTGTTTCTTATTTTCTTCTACCACTATTTTTTTGTTGTTGTTCTTTACATTGAAATTTCATTTCTTCTCTTTCTCTCTCCTTCTTTCTCTAAGTTGTCTTGTTTCCTCCCCCCCCCCCCCAAAAAAAAAAAGGCCTGCCTCAACAACACCGTTGTAGCAAGTCGCTGTTATCTTTACTATTCCTACTATTATTATTCTTATTTTTACTCTTATTATTATTATTGGTATACTTCGTATACGCGCTGTTGCGCTGCAAAAGCAGCTGCCCCAACTCTTTTATTTTTGTCAACTACTGCTACTGGGTTTTTTTCCCTCCGCCTTTTGCAATTGCTATCATTTTCAGTTGTTGCTACTCTTGTTGTTGTTGTTGTTTTTCACTCCATATTTTTGTCTTGATTCCTCGCCTCTCTCCCTCTCGTGTCTTCACCTTTTGTCACCCGCTGTCGTGCGTAGGATGCCAGCTACCTTAAAGCATCCGGAACGATAGAGAACAGGAAAAGAAGAAAGGAACACACGAAGAAAGGGCTAACAGGTCCACGCACACACGCACACGCATACACACCCACACGCGCGCGTAAAAAGCCTCTCTGTCGTGTATGTCACTCAGAACAGTCGTCTCCATTTCAGTGGATATGGAAGACGTCGCCGCACCAGCGACGGCGGTGCCGTCTCACCCGCAGGAGGTCACGCTCGTCTCTCAGACGTCCTCGGCAAGTCAATTTGTTGGCAATGTGGGAGGCCCTTTGCGTAGCAGCAGCAGCGAAAGCTCCTCCGGCAACCACTGCCGCTCCACCGGCGAGTGCAGCCTCGTCCCAGCAGCCCGCACCACCTCCCCTTTCTACCGCCACAACCCCTACCTAGCCTCTCCGGTCTCCGAAACCTACCTTTACCTCGCGTCGCCGGACGGCACCGGACTGGAGGAGGCGGTGGAGCGTCATCGCAGCAGCAGCAACAGCAGCCACCACAACAACATTCACAGCATCCGCAACAGCAACGACCGCAGTGCTGATGTCACATCTGACTGGCGCCTCGTCGTGCGCTCTCTCAGTCGCCGCAAGCCGTCCTCATCCGTCCACTCCACCGCCGACAACGACAACTCAAACCACCACCACCACTACCGCAGTCGCACACCGCTTATGTCGCCCGCCTTCATGAACCCGTTGGAGAACAAGGGGGTGTCCGCGATGGAGGACGCGGCGGCGGCGCAGCGGGGCCACGCCCGTCGTGACTCCGCCGCGTCGCTCTCCTGCGATAACTCCACGAGCAGCGCGGTGCTGTACTCGTGCGCCGAGTCGTCCGCCGCCTCCCATCACGCGTCGCCCTCGCCGGGGCAAATCGCATCCCTCACGCGCGCCCCTGCTTTTCTGTTCGCAGCCGCGGCGCACACGCGACGGCGGACGGAGAGCCCGGAGACGAGTCGGCACAGCACGCTGAGTAAGTCGCACAGCTGGGGCAGCCCGACGACGTCGTCGCTCTATTACAGTTTCACCGACCACAGCGCGGCGGCGGCAATCAGCACGAGCAACAACCCGTATGTCGGGGTGCGCATGACTCCCGAGGCCCCGGCGGCGCTGGCGGCGAACCAAGACGGGGTATCGCCCTACTCGCCTGCATTGCAGCAACAGCAGCGGCTCTCCATGATACCACGTGTCAGCAGCAACAATAGCAGCGGTGCCGTTATAGCAAATGTTGTTAACGGCGGTGGCGAGGCGGGTAGTGCCCGCGGTTCCCACCGCCGCACCCCCACCATTGAAGGCCTCCCACTCCGCATGGCACGCGTAGGCCTCTCCGCCTCCTCCCACTCCACCACCACCGCGCAGAACTCACCCGGCGCCGTTGCCTCGAACAGCACCAGCGAGACGGCCATGACGACGGCAACCCCGCCAGCCTACGTAGCATCCACCGCTGCCGCCGCTGCTGCTCAAGCCCCAGCAGCGGCACGCCTCACGGTGACCCCCCGCTCGCACCCCTCCGACACGCCCCCTCCCTACAATCAACCGACCAGCGCTCCTCTGTCGCCGGACACGGCGAGCATGATTGTGCCTCCGAGCCCTCCCCCAGCCATGACCCTGCGTCAGTCACGTCCGCCCGCGTCTGCGGGGGGGTTGGCTGGCTTGCCGACCTACGCGATGTCCTCCGATGTCGTCCTCTCCGAAGTCAGCAGCAACAGCAGCCCCCATCAGCCCTACCGCTACACACCCCTTGCCCGGCAATCGCCGTGGCCGGCAGCAGCAGTGCGTACACCACCGCCGCCACAGTCACAGCCACAGCAGTCGACTTTTATGCCGCCCTCGCGTGCGGCGTACGCGATGACCGCCAGCCCGCCACCGTACGTCTACAGCAGCAGCGACAACGACGAGATCCGCTTCTTACACGCGATGGACTCCGGCACGCCGCCCCCTGCCCCCACAACCACAGCCGCTAACACCGCGATGCCGACGATGACAGGGCTGTCCCACAACACGGGGGTAAAGATGGCAGCCATGGCATCTCCGCCGCCGTACGATGGACTCTATGCCGCGCCAACCGCCGCTCAAAGCGATGTGCTGAGTGACGGCCAGTCCCCCTCAAAGCTCCGCACTTTCGGCGGTAGAGCCGAGGAAGACGGAGGCGAGCGTCTATACAAACAAAGCGATCGGGGCGGCGGCGCAGCAGCAGCGGCAGCGACGACGGTGATGATGCGCACCCACGATGAGCAAGCAGTGACGACGGCAGCCGAGGCAGGCAACACCAACTGCGGGCCCAGCCATCCTCGTGCTCAGCTCGATACATTTGACGAGGAACAGCACCATCAGCAGCAGCAACAGCAGGAAGCGGCCGAGATGCAGGAGACCATCGAGGAGTCACAGATGCAGCGAAACCCAGCGACGCAGGAGGCAGATCGGCTGCACGGCGCGATGACGAATGAAATATCAGACGAGGAGGACGCTGAGGACGATGGGGAGGAGGGCGCTACACTGGCGACGTCGGTCAACGCCGGTGCCGCCGCCGCCGCCGACACCAAGGCAAAGCACAAGAAGAAGAAGCGCGCCCGTCGCAACCGCAAGCAGAAATTCCTTCAGGAATTACCGCCCGCCACGGAGATGAAGTTTCTGCCCCCACCGCCGCCACCGCTGCCGGCGCCGCACGACGGCGCGGAGACCGCGGCGCCAGGCAGCAAAGAAACCGCTGTTGACTTCGACAAGTACTACGGAGTGCTGGTCCGCTGGTACGAACGCATCCTCGCAGACGAGGCGGACTTTGTGGGGTCAAACTCCGCCTCGCTTCCCCTTAGCGTCGCGGCGGCCCAGGCGAGCGGGAACGGCGTGGCCAGCCTGGAGGCGAGCCACACCACCTTGCAGAACTCAGGAACCCTCACGCCGCGCACCTCGCAGACGATGACCGGATCGATGCCGGACGCCATCCCGGGCACCACCGTCTTCGCCATGACAAACTTCAACGGCTCCGGCGCGGCGGCGACCACCACCACGCCGACTACGAACAACCCTCACGCCAGCTCCGCCGCTGCACGCCTGCGTCACACGACGGGGGGCGGTGAAGTCCCGGTGCTGTGCCCACGCATTGAGCAGTACATGCCTCTTTCAGATATTCCCTTGGGGCTCCGCACCGGTGTGCCGAACGGGTCGGGCACCAGTGTGCGTAGGTACTCGTTGCAGTCGACTGGGTCCAGCGTAGAAAGCCCCGCCACAGTGCACGGAGGTGAGACGGCGGCAGCGGCCGCACCTGTCCTGCACGTGCAGCACGTCGACAGAGCGGTGCAGTGGGCGGCGGCTCTCAACTCGTGGTGGCTCGCCTACGTCCACCCGCACTCCTTCAGCTCCCGCCGACAGCGCATCCCGCCGGGCTTCCCGATGCCGCCGATACCGACAGCGACAGCGGCAGCGGCAGCGACAGCGGCGGCCTTCCCCTCGCCAAACACGGGCAGCAACATGGGATCTATGGACGGCTGGTCAGCCTCCTCAACGGCCGTGACCGGCTACGAAGGGCAGCAGCAGCAGCAGCCGTTTTACGGCTCGGGTGGGATGGGCGGCGGAGGTGCGGGCATGCAGGTAATGAGTGGCAGCGGATCCGTCGCGGCGACGGCCACGTCAAACGCCATGTACGCGGGCCTGCCTTTGTCGTCGTACTCGCCGTACTCGCCTTACTCGATTCCTGGCATGGCGCCGCCGCCGCCGCCTCTGCAGCAGCAGCCACAGATGCAGCAGCTGTCACACCCGTCGATCATGGGCGTCTACACTATATACCAGCATCAGTAGTGGTGGAAGCACCTGGGCGACCGCACGGTCATCTGTCGAGTATCTTTTCTCTGTTTTTGTTTTCTCCGTGTTTCAAAGTGCTGTTGTTGTTTGTTGTTATTGCTGCTGTGTTTCTTTGTGTTATTTGACGTGTACGATGCGTGGAGGGCGCTTCGCATACTTTATTATTATTATTTGTTTTTTTCCTATAAAAGTGGGTTATATACACTTTCCTTCCTTCCCTTGCGCTCCTTCTCGCGGTTTTATTTGTATCTCTTGCTTCTCTTTCTTCTAGTTTTTTTTTTGTCCTCTCTCTCCCCCGCACTGATGTACTCCCACCTGTGTCGCTTCTTACGTTCTATCAGCTTTTCCCTTTCGTTGATGTTGTGATTTCTCTTCTTCTTGTTCTTCCGCCCTCTCTCTCTCTCTTTGCTATTTACGTATTATTTCCCTCCTTTTTTTCTTTTTGCGGCATGCGTGTTTCGTGCAGTAGGATGCGCCGCACTCGTCGACGCTCCGCCTACGTGCGGGGGCGAAGACAGCGAATTCAAATTTTTAACTAAGGCGGGAAAACAAAACAAGAAACCCAGTTATACGCGAGTATCTTGTTGTTTGTTTTCTTTTAGTAATATTATCATTACTGTTATTATTAGTGTGCTCGGATGTGTTTTCCTCTTGCTGCCGTTTGGGCTTTTCTCTCCTTCTTCTTTTACAGGCGCACACGTCTATTGTTTACTTCCATTTATTTTTTTTCATTTTGCTGTTGTCCTTGTCGTTGATTACTGTGGATTTCTCGTGTTTTTGCTGAGTGATGGCGGAGGGGTGGGGTGGGGGGCGGGGTTGGGAGGACTCCGCTCTTCTTTGCATTATACAACACTCCTCCCCATCCCCCTCCCTCTCCCCTCTTTGTCACCCGGGCCGCAGCGGAGCGAACACACGTGTAACTCCCCCTTTTTCCTTCTCCCCCTTCCCCCCTCCTCTTCTCTTATTTTTTGGCTTTTAGTGTGAGTTTGTGTGTTAGATATTTTCGTCTACGACTTCTCCTACGACGGCATTCAAAAGAAAGAGACTTTAACAAAAACGGCAACGCGTAGTTTTCTCTTTCCTCTCATCTCTCTCGCATTTTTTTTTTCAAAAGTCAACAGTTTAATACGACTACATGTAGAATGTTCAATACCAAAAGGAAAGGAGCAACCACAACATCATCATAATCTGCGAAGCGCAACAGAAAAATACGCCGGCCACTCCGGTCTGCGTAGCGTCGGCTGCCTCCGGCACTCGTGATGGAAGGAGTGAAGTGGAGGGTGGCAATGCAGGAACCGCCGTAGAGAGGAAAGACAAAAAAAAAACGTTTGCTGGTGTGCTGCTGTATTGCGATCTATTGTTCGTCGCGACCTTTGAAAAAGAAAAGGCAGCATTGCAGTCGTGGAAGAAGAAAGAAAAAAAAAATTCAGCGATAAGCAAGCATGTGGGCTTTTCTTTCCTTATTATTACTGTTACTGCTCTACCTCTATGAAATTGGGCTGACACTCCTCTCATGTACGTGTATGTACTCCGCCGACTCGTGGCATTCGCACCTTCCCTTCCCTTCCCTTTCCCTTCCTCTCCCTCTCTTTCGCTGCACAAATGCAGAACGTCGAAGTGAGCTAAGTAATATCTCATATATATATTTTTTTCTTTTCCTCTAGCGAGAGCAACACTTCTCTTCCCAGGTTTTTTCGTTGTTTTTTGAATCCTCGAGAAGAAGAAAAGCAGTGGATGGTTCTAGTCTCCCCCTTCGTGTCTTCATCTCTCAGTATACCTATAGATCTATAAGTTTACTCGAAGAAACATACACGAGGCACAGAAAGGCACATATCAAAGTAGAAGGAAATCAAGAAGAAAAACAAGAAGAAGCACCATGACGACCAACGTGGACCTCACCGCAGCGCCGGCCGCCATCGGCAAGAGTGTGGTCAAGACAACGGCGGCCATCTTCAAGGAGGAGGTCAGCGCGCCGCGCGTGCTGGGGGAGTCGGAGGCCTTCATCGCCTACACCCTGAAGAACCGCCGCACGATTCGGCTCGTCTGCCGGACTACCAACGGCCGCGGTGCCTTCCGCTGGCACGAGGGGGCGGTGTACGGCCTTCGCTTCGTCAACTTCCACAGCAACGTCGCCGCCTCTGCCTCGGAGACGGACTTCTACGTCTGGGTAGCCGTATCCGAGACGACGAACGAGGCCGGACCGGGCGAAAAGGCCAGCCCGACGACGCGGCTGACGGTGAAGCCGTACTTCAAGCTGTTCGACCCCATCATGATCAACAGCTTCCACTTCTTCATTAACCCCTCCAACAACATGCCCGACCTGCTCATCCTGTACAACAAGACGGCGGCGGTGCTGCAGAGCTCCAAGCTGATCTCCGAGTACACGAGCGGTGTGCAGGAGGCGCGGCTGAGCGAGCAGAGTCGTGAGCTGCGTCAGCTGCCGCAGGAGACGTCCTCGAAGAGCCTGTGCACCACCTTCAGCGGCGGCTGGCTCGCCTTCACGTCGGAGGCGACGAAGGTGATGGCGTGCACGCTGCGCAACACGACAACGCCGGCGTGGAGCGGGTGCGAGGGGGAGGAGATTGTGCGGCTCAGTTTTGTGGGCAGCAACACCGCTACTAACGGCGCGGCTGCTGCCGCTGCCGCTGATGCTGCTGCTGCCGCGGCAAACGCCAGCAGCGCGCTGCTGGCCATCTGCTCCACCGCGAAGGTGTACCTGTGGAAGCTGACGGGCGTGGCGGAGCCGGTGCTGCTGCGCTCCTTCACGTTCGGCAACATCGTCACGATGCTGTCCTCGCACAATGCCTTTTCCGTCTTCAACGATGCCGGTAAGGTCGCTCGTGTGCAACTGCGGGGTGAGACGGACATGGACGCCGTGGTGTACGACATGGGCAAGACGGTGCGCTCGACCAGCGTGTGCTACCACGAGGCGGCGCACTTCGCGACGGTGTTGGTAGACAACGTGATGGAGTTGACGCTGTACCAACTCGCAACGGCAAACAACAGCAGCAGCATTCGGGACAGCAACTCCAGCAACGACCAGGGCAGCAACAAGAGCTCGCCGGTTGCCGCTGCAGCTGCTGCTGCTGCTGCTGCTGCCCCTGCACCTGCGGTGCCTGTGGCGCCCACGAACACCGCGAATATGCCGTTCGTAGACCCGTCCATCATCACCGTTGGCATTCCTTTTCGGCCAAACCTCAACAGCAACGTCAACACGAACAAAGTGCAGGAAGTGGCGCCGTCGTCGTCGTCGCCTGCAGCGGCTCCTGCCGCGAACCACAACAGCGTCACCTCTGCCGCCGCGATCAACGCGAACCCGATCGCGGCCATGGCGGCGTACCAGTCTGCGCGTGTGGCCCTGCAGAACACATCGCTGCCGCAGTCGTTGGACGGCCTTGTGGCGAGTGCCGTCTACCAAAGCGACGAGAACGTGCGCCGCGCCGTGGAGGGGTTGCTGAACGTGCTGAAGAACATTACACAGATTTTACAGCTGACCCCTGATCAGCTCCTACGCGATCATCAGCAGTTGATTTCCCTCGCGCTGGAGGCGCAGATGACGGAGCTGCAGCAGGCCACAACGGCGGTCAACACCGCAACGACGGCGGCGGCGGCTGGTGCTGGCACTTCCGCCCCGCCTGCGTCACCTGCCAGCGCGCGCCACAGCGAGGCCTTCAACAGCTACGCGCTGGCGAAGCTGCTCGCGCCTGTCGCGAGCGAAATCGCCACCGGCGTCACCCATGGTGTGCGTGACACCCTCCGCACCGAGCTCGACGCGGCCGTCAACGCCGCCTTCGGCGCCAACGTGCACGCCGCCCAAAAGGAGGTGCTGCGTCGACGTCTGGACGAGGCGCTGCAGAGCAGTGCCCGCGTGCTCGGCGAGGACGTCGCGAGCCGGGTGGACCGCTACATCGAGCACGAGCTGAGCGAGTCTCTGGCGCGCGTCAACGCCGGCATGAGTGCGCTGGAGGAGCAGAACCGCAAGCTGCAGTCCGCCCTGCATCAGATTGTGAACTCGGGTGCCGTGCAGGAGTTGGAAGCGATGCGGGCGGAGGTGGCGCGGTTGCGCGGGGCTCTCGAGCGGGGAGAGGCCGTGATGGAGGGCGGTGCTGCTGCGGCGGGAGGTGTCGCACCGGCTTCTCTGTCGCCGCAGACGGTGATTGAGACGTCGGAGAAGTACATCAAAGAGGGCCACGTTGCGCAGGGTCTGACCTACGTGGTCATGGCGCAGAACCCGCGCTGTGTCGTGCAGCTGCTGACGCGGCTCTCCGAGGATGACGTGGCGAACGTGGTGTCAGACGCGGAGACGTCGGAGTCGACCTGGTCGAAGCTGATCACGCAGCTGTGCGAGTCGGAGACGGCGGCGGACACGGCGGCGGAGTTGGAGACGGTAGCGTCGTTTCTCTTCGATGTGCTGTCGGAGCACGACGACTTGATTTCGAAGAAGACGGCGAAGGCGCAGCAGACGCGCAGTGATGTGCGCCACTTCGTCGCCCGCACCCGGGGCAAGATCGACAGCATCGAGGGCCGCCGCGTATTGAAGGACTTGGAGAAGTGCATCCAGTAATTGTGTGGAGTTCCTGTTCTCTTTTTTTTTTCTTTCGAGTAGTGGATGCTTTCTGAAGTGCCGTTTTGCATCGGTGAGAGGGCGCGTGACACAAGTCTGCCCTTTATATATTTATATTAACTGTTGTTGGGAGGGGGGTGGGGGTGCTGGATGTGACGCAGCAGCTACACCTCTAAACACCGCGTAAACGCTACCGTTTGTTTACAGAAATGCAGTGATTGCCGTAGTGATGGATACGTGTGTGTGTGTGTGTGTGTGTGTGTTGGAACGAGTACATTGGCCTACGGAATCTCGACTGTGTTGATAGTTTCTTTGTTGATGCCTGTTTTTTCCCTCTTATAAGATTCGGCTCGTGTGTGTGAATTTTGGTGGTCAGGGTTGGGCGTTGACACGTTGGGTTTTCTTTCCGTGTTCTTTATATATACATACACATAATGGAGGTGTACGGTTTCTCCATATTGTTCGCGGTGATTCCCGCTGAAGCGTTACCTGTTCTTTTTGTTGTTGTTGTTGTTCGTATCGTTGTCGTTGTTTAAGAGCATCATTAATTGTTATTATTATTATCATTTCTTTGCTGTGCGCCCTAAGTGCAGAATCGTGTTGTGGTGCGTGAAAGTTTGGTGTTTATTCGCCACCCTTGTGTAGGTTGCTTCGTCACTCCAGCAACAGCAAACCTGAATATCCAAAAACAGAAAAGGCAATTAATGAAAACAAAAGCAAGCTGGAGAGAAGTGATTTCAACCTGATGAAGGAGGCGGTGGCACGGGGGCGTGTCACGAGTGGGGCGAGTATCATCAGCGGTTGTCCGTCTCCTTCTTTGGTGTTGTCGCTGCTGTTTGCTTTCTCTTTTCGAAGACGCGTTTCTTTGGCGTCGGAGTCCTCCCACTTCATCGGGCGTCGCCTCCTTTCGAATTACGCAGGTGCGTCTGTGCTGCCTGCTTTACTAGTCGTCTTTGATTGTTTTTTTCTTTTGTTCGTTCTCATTCTGCAGGATGCCGTGCGCGCCAGGGACCCACCACGCGACGCACGCGGCGCCCGCTCCATCCGTCGACGCCTCACTTGAGCGCGTAAGTTCACTCGTCTTTCCGCTTTCGCTCTCAACCCGTGCTGCTCGCTCTTCTCTTCCACTTCTCTTGTCGATGTTTTCCACCCATGCACACACGCACCAATCGCCAACTACTCCTCCATGATTCAACCGTGACAGAGCAGGGAAGAAGAATAACTCCCGCAGCAGAAGGAACGAACAGGTGTGGTGTTTAAATCGTGTCTCTCTGAAAGCTAGGAGCTGCTGACGAGGTCTCTCCCCACCCCTCCCCCAGCCCTACAAACACCACGCTCGCACATCACGCATCACCAGCGGCAGCCACAGCAACACCAGCGATCACCTGCAGTCAAAGCCCAGATACGAGAGCAAAAGCATTTCACATACATCACGCACGGGGTGCCTACACACCCCATACAAATATCACACTGCCCTGAAAGACCCCCCTCCCCCTCCAAAAAAGAAAAAAGATAACAGGAGCAACTAAAGTTCACGTTTGACATCTTTTACTAGCATTACATGCATGTTTTAGGGAAGAGGGAATTCTCACTCTACGAGCACACGCACACACACACACAGGAATTATTAGAACTATAGAAGTCTCATCACATACATAAATACACTTTGTTGTTGTTTTTTCAAGTGGAGATCCCGGACGTTTCTTCGGGATACGCGAGCGAGAGGGAGACATCTCATCGTCGCGCACAGCCGTTTTGCAGCTCGCATGCATCGCTTGATCATAATCAGCACAAATCTGTCTAATACTGTTAGTATTATCATTGTTGTTATTCTCTTGTGGTGCTCAGAAGCAGCAACAATAAATACCATAGGAAAGAAATGTATCGCGTTGTCGGTGTTCGCCAGGCAGCCACGGTGGGCACGACGGTCCGTTGTGCCTCCGCGTCCGCGCTGGCATCTTTCTCTTCCTCGTCAGCATTCTTCACATCACCAGATGCGAACTTGCGCTCCCCCACGTTGAATGGCGGGCGTGGGTCCTGTTCCTCACTGTCCTTGTGGGCCTTGCACACCCCCGCATGCTTTTATCGCACATCTTCTATCGTCTTTGCGTCTACGGTCAACAACAACAACAGCGGCGGTAATAGCGGCGAAACGGCTACTCCAAAGCGTCGCCGCATTGCGAGGGCCCAACGTGGCCGGCAACCGACAACAAGCGCGAGTCGTGAGGACGCCACAGCTGCTGCTGCTGCGACGACTGCTGCAGCTCGTGCCTCACCCAGCGCCTCCACCGTAGCGTCCGGCGGCGCAACGCGGAAGAAGAAGACGCGCTCGTCGCGGTCGCCGTCGGCGGTGGCGGCGCTGCGCACCTACATTAACAACGACAAGCACAGTAGTAGCGGCAGCAGCGCAAGAGCACCAACAGCAAGGATGATGACGGCATCCCAAGCATCACCCCGGCCCACCACGCGCTCGCATGCGAAAGGGTCTCCCTACGCCGCTTCTTCTCCCCTTTCCTCCTCCTCCGCAGCGTACACCAATGACGACGATGCGGCGGCGGCGGCAGCGATCGATGAGGCCGGTTACAGCGATGTGCGCGGCGAACAGGACGTGGCCACACGAGATTACCACTACATGAACAGCGTGGAGCAGCACGAGATGGACAGCGAGACAGCGCCCGAGCAGGCCGCGACGGCCGAGGCGGACGACGTGGTGAGTCCATCGCTGCTTCACGAAGAAGACGTGGCGACAGATCTGGAAGACGAAGTCCTAAACGTGCCGTCGTCCGCGGAGCACGAAGAGGGAGGAGGCGACGGCGTGAAGCGTGCGGAGGAGGGGGAGAATGATCTTGGAGAAGCGGAGGAGGTGGAGCTTGCCGCGGAGCTGCGTGAGGTGTCGGATGACACAGCAGACGAAGGCGCCACCTCCTCTTCATCCGTCAACGCCACCGCTGCTGCTGACGACGAGGCGGGGGCGTCGAGTGCAAATGCTGCCGGCGCCTCCTCGTCTGCGTTCTCGGCGACACAGCCGTCGACGGCCTCCGGCTCCAGCGCCACCGGCATGCCGCGCATCGGCTCGCTGCTGGACTTCGAAAGCCCCTTGAACCTTCGCCTCGCCACCCTCACGCGTCACCACGGCAAGGCGTTTCGTGCGATTGCGGTGTACATGCCCGAGACGCGCGCCACCATCAACTTCGACATCACCTTCGAGGACATCGCGAGTGGGGCGCGGCTGGTCTGCAAGCTTTCCGAGGTGAAGTCCCGCTACTTCGAGTGGATTAGTCTCTTCCGGGCCTCCTACGTGGCGCTCTTCGTGCCGACCTTGCAGTCCCCCAACGCAACGCTGCTGCAGAACGCGATTGGTAGCGCGCGCCCAGCACGTCCGCCGCCGCCGCCCGGCAGCTACCACCCCCGCCTGAACGAGGACGCTGACCACCTCTTCTTCTCCTACACCAAACTGCGCGAGGTGATCTCGCACAAGAAGAAGGACACGGCAGTCAGCCCACAGCTGCTGACGGTGACGGTACTGAACGCCTACGCCGAGGAGTGGAAGAACTTCATTGCCACACCGCTCGCGTGCGCACCGCAGGCCTTCCTGCTCGCCGCCTTTAACTTCCAGGGACAGGCGCGCGACAACAGCGTCGGTGCGATGCTGAACAAAGAGCTGCTGCAGGCGCAGTTGGGCGCGGCGGCCGACGCGATCGTGCACTACTCCTGTGCGAGTGGGTCGCAGAGCGCACGGCGGCGCACCGGTGCCGCCGGCTCCTCAACGAGCGCGGCGTCCACCGGTTTTTTCCGCGGAGACAGCGATCGGTGGAGTCTGATCTTTGTCTCCGCCCCGGCGCGCACGGCGGCCGGCACGGCGGCGATCCCGCCCATGCAGGACCTCCTCACCGGCCAGTTCGTGGAGCCGCTGACCTTGTCGGAGCGCAATGTGATTTACATCATCGGCACGGGGGCCGCGGCGGAGTCCTTCGGCCGCTTTCCACTCGCCCGCAAAGGCCGCTGCGCCTTCTCCATTCTCCTGCAGGACGTGGAGTCGCAGCTGGGCCTGCAGCGCCCGCACCGATCGAACGTGACGGCGATGCTGACGCAGGCCCTTGACAGCTTCTCGCGCATTACGTGGATGGGGCTCATGAAAGAGGAGACAGGCGAGCCCCGCACCGCGCATCCGAGCACCGCCTTCTACCAGCTGCAGCGGCGCAGCGTGCAGCGGGAGATCATACCGAGCTTCCTCGAGCCGGTCTTCGCGCCGGGGCAGCGGTACATGAGTCAGCGCGGCGCGGCAGGCGGCGGTACGGTCGACGCGATGGGCCGACCCATGCACGGCAGCTCTGGCGGCGGCGGTGGTGGCGGTGCTCGCGGTGCGGGTAGTGGCCATCGTGACGCCTCCGTCTCTGCGCAGGCAAGCAAACTTGTGGATCAGCACATGCAGGTGATCTTCAACAACACGGAGCGGCTGGCTCGTGAGACGGCGCTGCGTGATGAGATGCGGGGCCGCGTAGCGTACTTCATGCACGTCACGACCGCCAGCGTGACGGCGGCGCGGCGCGCAGACAATCCCTTTTCCGCGCGCAACGGGATGGTGGATGTGCTGGGTCAGTTGTGGTCCTCGCTCACCTTGATGAACCCGCCGCCGGTGCTTCACCTGTCCGCCAAGGTGCAGGAGAAGACGGGGGAGATGCGGGAGTTTGTGGACCCGGAGTCGGTGCTGCCGGACTCGCTGCCCCTCGGGCCACCCGATGCGCCAAACCCGAAAGATCGCGCGGAGAACGCCGTGCTTATCGGCTGGGACATCAAACGAATTTTGCTCTTTCTGCGGCGCAGTGTGAAGCTGCGCAAGTTTCTGTACAACGGGGGCCGGATCTGGTGTGCGCAGTACGCCCAGTACCTCCTGAAGGGCTTCAATCACCTGCACCTCTCCACGATGGAGCGCACCGTACTGCAGTTTCACGACGGCCCCTTGCAAGGATCGATGCAGCCGCTGGCGAAGCTGAAGCTCATCTACGAAACCCAGCTCGACGTCGCCGTCGGCACGCGGCAGGTGTCATCGCTGCTGCATCGCATGGATGGCCTGTTGGCCTCGATGGAGATGGAGCTGCAGGGGCTGCAGATCGTGCCGCAGTCACAGGTCACCTACTTCGCCAACACGCTGCGTCTCGACCACGAGCGGTTGGAGAAGCTGCTGCAGGCGAAGATTATGGACTTCACGCAGTCCATGGACGACGACGTCCGTCAGCGCATCAACTTCCGCTCCCCGCAGGATATCAGCACAATCATCTACGGCGGCGGGCTGTGCCGTCACCTGGGCTCCCGCTTTATCCCGATGAAGCCGACAAAGTCGCCCTCAACGAGTCTCTTCCCGCACGCCGTGTGCCACGTGACCGGGACGTCGGTGCCGGAGCAGTACACGCAGGCAGAGGCGCTGCTGAGCGGCGGTGGCGGCAACAATGGGGCAAGCGATGGGCTGACCGGCAACGCAATCACGTTGCGTGATGTGCGCAGCAGCCTCGAGGTGATTGGACAGCTCTGCAAGCGCTGCTCGCTCGACGCGTTGGTGCAGCAGACGGTCGTCGTGGTGGTCATCACGAAGGTGAAGATGGGCGGCCTGCTGGAACAGATCTCCGTGTACTGCCCGAGCGCGGCCGGACCGAATGCGCGGGAGTTGACGCTGCGCATCGCCATCGACGACGTCGTACCCGTGATGGAGAAGCCCGACGTGGTGACGGTGGCGCAGTTAAAGGAGCGGATTGCGAACTACGAACCGCTGAAGAATCTGCTGCCTCGTGCGCCGGCCGCGTCGTCGAAGAACGGCGGTCACGCGCGCCGGTCGGCCGGGAAGCGCGGCGGCGGCGACGCCCCACCCGATCTGCGCAACGTGTTGGTCTTCACCAACAGCAGCTACGACAAGCTGGAACCGCTCGTCGACACGGGGGTGTTGGCCACCATCAAGAAGACCATCTTTGGCGCGGAGGCGGTACAGAGTACGAATACTGGCAAGCACGGTGGTGTCGTGGCGCAGCTGCCTGGGGAACCGGCGTCACTCGAGCGTATCTGCTTCGCGGACCTCGACAAGGCCTTTCCCCCGCCCCCGCAAGGCGCGGACTCCTTCGAGTCGGACTTCTCGGAGCTGTCCTCCTCCAACTCCATGCCGTTTTCCGCCAAGCGACACTGGGACGCCCACGCTAAGGAACTCGTGTCGCTGGGTGGGGTGGAGGGCGCGCTGAAAAGTGTCGTGTCGCAGTGCGCCTCCGTCATTGGCACGCCGCGCGACGCCTTCCGCAACGCCCACCCGCTGCCCTCGAGTGCGTTGCAAGGCCTGCACGGACAGGAGCAGGCGTCGACGTCTGGCATGTTGTGGATGGTCACGCCGGAGAAGCTGCACCCGCTGCTGCGACACTTCCTGCGCGGCAAGGCCGCCTCCTCCGGCGCGGACGCGATGGAGCGGGTGACCGTGCTCTTGTCGCCGTACAAAGACATCGATCTCTCCTTCTTCTCCGCGCTGCAGCAGCTGCGCTTTACGGAGAAGAAGATGCAGCTCTTTGAAGAGGGATGTCTCTTCCGCGCGGTGCTGCCCGAGTGCCATGACCGCGTGCACGGTGAGCTGTGCCACTGCGTCACCGCCACGGGTCGTCTCTCGTCGCAGTCGCCCAACCTGCAGAACATCCCGAAAGAGGAGGACCTGCGCCGGTTGATCGTCTCGCGCTTCGGGGCGCAGGGGATGATGATCGAGGCGGACTACAGCCAGCTGGAGGTGGTCGTGCTCGCCGCGCTCAGCCGCGACCCGCGCATGATGCAGGAGCTGCGCGAAAACGTTGACTTCCACTGCCTGCGGGTGTCCCTCATGACGAAGGAGCCCTACGAGGACATCGTGCGGAAAGCGAAGGTGGACAAGGACCCTCAGTACATCCAGCTGCGTCAGCAGGCGAAAGTCTTTTCCTTCCAGCGGCAGTACGGTGCGGGGGTGGCGACCATTGCGACGACGACGGGCCTGACGGAGCAAGAGGTGGAGCGGCTGATCGTGGCGGAGGAGCACCACTACAAGGAGCTGAGTCGGTACTACCAGCTAGTGGCGAGCTGCGTGGCGGCCGGCGCGGATCGCCTGCTGCGCCTCCGCACGCTGGACACCGCGCTGTGGAACGCAAACCTGCGCCGGGTTGTCATGCTAACGGAGCCGACGAGCTACTTCGTGGTGCAGACGGGCAGCAAGTTTGACTTCGCGAAGGACCGGCGGAGCGGTCCGCGGCTGAAGAACTACCCGGTCCAGGGCCTCGCGGGGGAGATAGTGCAGATTATGTGCGGGGAGGTGGTACGGGCCTTCTACAAGAACCGCAACTATGGCGAGAAGGCGTTCCTTGTGAACACGGTGCACGACTGTGTGTGGGTCGACGCGCACAAGTCGGTGGCGGAGGAGGTGCAGGCAGATCTGAAGCGAATCATGGGCCACACGCAGGAGACGATCGCCGCGCTGTGGCCGGATATGAAGCTGGACGTGCCTTTCAAGGCGGAGATTCATTCCGGGCCGTCGCTGGGTGAGCTGTCTGCCTAAATCACACACACCCTGAAAAAAGCAGAAGAATGAGAAGTAGGCAGTTTTTGTTCTCTTCTTTATACGTATATATATACAGATGTCAAAGAAGCCATAGATGGGGTTGTTTGTTGCTGCATGATAGAAGTCTGATCTTGCCTTCACGGGTGAGAAACAATGTTTCTTGTTGATGATTTCCGGCTGAGTTGCTTGTTGAGCGTGTGTGTGTGTGTGACGCACTGCCGCGAGGCTTTAACTTTGCCACCGCTGTTGTGGACGCTGGACAGAGTTTTTCCGTTGTTGTTTGTGGAGGTTGTTTCTTTTTTTCCTTATACTTACCTTTTTCGCGGTTTCAGTTATTCATCTTCTCTTCCGTTGTCGAGCTGTGGGCAAGTTGTGTATGCCAGTTTTCGGCCCAGCACAATCCAAATACACGACAAGAAAACCCCAAAATGCGCGGAGCACAGACGTCTTCGAGCGAGTCATTCGATTTGGTTGCAAGGACGGAGTGTCTTTCGCCAGGAATACGGATATATATATATTGCGGTATACTGGAATGGCGTTAAAGCCGGATGGCCGCCGCTGATGTTCCGCTGTCCAATGGAAGCATTGTCGAAATCGTCGTTCCTTCTTCACTTCAGAAAAAAAAAAGTGCGTGAACGAATGACGGTGCTTTTCAGGCAAGTTTGTCGTACACACACGCACCCCTACACACACACACACTCGTCTCTCTTGCTCTCTTTCTCTCGCCATCCTTTTAATTGTTCTTCCAATGCAGGAGTTATCAACGGTAGTGTGGGGGGAAAGCAGCAACAGCCAAAAAGAAAAAACACACTCTCCGTTCTTCTTAGTTTCTGCCGCGTACACGCACACGCACGCAATGGCCTCCACCAAAGAAGTGCTAGACACCCTCCCCAGTGAGGAGGAGCTCACGGCGAAGTGTCTCGAGCTCGGCCTTGTGATGCGTCAGTCTCCCTCCTTCAGCATTACGCATCCTGCCGTGGCTCTCCACCCGATGCCTATGAGGACGGAGGTGCTCGAGCAGCTCTACGACCGCCAGCTGCTGTGGAACGAGGCGATCAACCGCACCGCCCGCAACTTTCAGTTTCTGCGTGACTCCATGCGATCGACGGCCGACAGCGACCGCGATTTCACTGGCCGGCTCGTTACCATGCTGGAGAACGTGTACCTGACCGCGCCGCCGGGGGCCAGTGGACCCGTGTTCCAGCCGCTCATGCTCGGCATCTTCCGCACCGACTACATGCGCTCCGTCGACCCGGAACCGACGGACGCGAAGGCTACTGCCGCCGCTGCTGCTGCTGCTGCTGCTGCCGTCGTCGTGTCCGCGGTGGACTCTGTCGAAAGCGAGACCGCCAGTCAGTGGAAGAACATCGAGATCAACACCATCAGCTGCTCCTTTGCGGGTCTGTCGCCGCTGGTACAACGGTTTCATCATTATTTGGACAAGTACCGTGCAGCGTGCATGAGCTCCGCGGCGGCGGTCGACCCGGCCACGGCCTCGGCGGTGATCGCCGCGGCCGCCTCGCGGCACGACGCCGTGCACACGTCGGATCATCAGCACAACTCTCTAACGCAGGTGCCGGCGGCGGTGGCGGCCGCCGTACACGCCTGGCAGCACGCCACCCCCCTCCCGAGCTTCTTGCGCCAGTACGAGCAGCGCACCGGTGTGGTGCTCAAGCCGATCGTTCTCGTCATTATTCAAGAGGGCGAGCGCAACACGGCGGATCAGTATAAGCTGCTGTTGGAGCTGCTGGAGCGGCACGGTGTGCTGAGCATCCGCCGCACCCTGACGCAATTACACGAGTCCCTGCGGCTCGAGCACGCGACCATCGGCGACCACAGCCGCGACCGCACCACCGCCAGTAAGCGCGCAGCGGAGCAGCCGAAGCCGCCCTTCGCGGTGGTCGAGAACACGTACGTGGTCGCCGTTGCGTACTTCCGTAGCACCTATGTCCCGCAAGACTTTCCGAGCGAAGGCGCGTGGAAGACGCGGGCGTGGATTGAGGAGTCGAACGCGGTCAAGTGCCCGAGCATCCCATACCACCTCATGACCTTTAAGAAGATGCAGCAGCTGATGTCGAACATCACGGAGGTGCTGACGCCGATCTGCTTCGCCGGTGACCCGCACAAGGCCGACGCGTTGGCGCAGCACTTCGTTCCGCAGTACTCGCTGAACAAGGACGAGTACGCCCGCTCGTCGGAGCACAAGCAGAAGAACGACGCCGGCGTCGTGGTGGACGATCCGGAGTACTGGATTCAAGATGCCGCGGCGCACCCGGAGAAGTACGTGCTGAAGCCGCAGCTGGAGGGTGGTGGCAACCTCATCGCCGGCCCCGACATGCAACGCATGCTGCGCGAGACCAAGGCGGAGGACCCGCTCTTCTTGGAGATTCGCCGGGAGTACATTCTGATGCGAAGGATCCACCACCCGGTCATCACCGGCATCCTCTTTCGCCAGAACAAAATCCACGTCCTGGAGAACAACATCTGCTCGGAGCTCGGCATCTACGGCGTTACCCTCTCGGCGGAGGCGGGCAGGTACCTCGTTAATGAAGCGGCAGGCTGTGTCGTGCGGTCGAAGCCGGCAGACGTGGCGGACGGTGGTGTGATGGCCGGCGTGGCCGCCCTCGATAGCGTACTGCTGATAGGCAGAAGTGGGCGCTGCGGAGGGGGCAGGTGCTGCGGCTACTGCTCGTGGTTGGGCCGCCCTCCCACGTTGGCCGCTGTTGTGGGTAGCATCGGAGCTGCGGCGAGCGTGGCGGTGGCGGCGGCGGCGTGGGCGGCGCGGCAGCGACGGAGCCCGCAGTGAGAAAGAACAGAAAAGCAAAGGAGAGCCCGAACTGCTGAGATGCGCGAAACAAATGGAACGAGGAAAAAGAAGACCCACAAAAATACGGTCTGTTATTTCTTCGTTTTTCTCTCTCCGCGGCCTGCACGCATAAAGCTCGCGCAGCGTCGCAGCGTGTATGTGTGTGTGTGTGTTTGTGTGACGTAGGGAGATACAACAGGGAGGAGAAATACCTAGAAACTTGTTGTTGGTGTTGGTGCGCCTGGCGTGAGCGAGCTGCGAGAAGGTGTTTGGCAGCGCATCAACGCCGTTAAGAGGCATACGTATGAATACGTGCAGACGTGTATTTGGTAAGGCGTTTTGGCCGGTGTTGGTCGTGTTCTTATCCTGCGTCCTGTCGACGGGCACACTTGTTTCTCCGTGTTTTGCTGCCGTTGCTGTTCTTTTACTGGTTCACCGTCAGCCACACGGCCGTCTCTCGCTGTTCTGTTGACACCTCCACTGCTCCTCTTCTCATTGTTGCTGAATCGGTTTTATTATGAATATTCTTTATTTTCGAACTTTGATGGTTTGCCCTATTATCGCCTCAGCGTTAATTCCTTTCATTTATGTATATATGAAAGAGGTGAAGAAGGCGTTTCGTTCAATTGTTTTTCTCACACCCACACGCACGCACGCGCACTTCAAATAATAAGCACAAACAAAACAACAAGGAGGAGGGGGAGGAAGCAAAGGGGTTTCTTCAATCGCAAACGTACGCGTTTGATTCGCAGAAGACATTGCGTGCATACGAACTTATGCGACATACACACAGACAGAAAGAGGGAGAGAGGGAGAGTGGATTTACCACTTCGAGCCCTCTCTCTGGTCCCATGATGAATGGAGCACATGACGCACACGGTTCGTGGTGTGCCCGTTGTTGTTGTTGCGCTACGTAACTCGCGGAAGAGCGAGGAAATCGGAGGGCACCGAGAAGTGCTAAATATCGGTCGGCACACTTGCTTTTCCTCTGTGTGTGTGTGTGTGTCTGTGAAGCGTTGAGCTCCACTGCCATCGTCATCGCAGAAGTACTTCACTTTCCTCATTTGAACCTTCACCTCCTTCATTTTTTCGTATTTACTCCTGTGTTTTCACGCATTCTTCTTGTTGTTAGTATTCTTGCACGACGTGGAGTACATGCACTCTCTCACTCCAAAGAAAGAAAGAAAAGAAAGGGTGGCGTTCAACATCGATTTGGCATTGCATGACTGACGATGGTGCACACAAACATCAGTACAGGCTATTATTCTGGGTGCTCGTTCTTGAAAACTGCGAGTTGTGTGTGTGGGCGTCTGTGTTGTGAAGGTGTGCAGAGGTCAACAAGTGGTTAGTCAGCTGTGCCTTGTCGCGCGCTCTTGAAGCGTAACCTTCTGTAGACGGCTGCAGCGTTACATCACTTGGAGATATATATATATATATACATTTAAGGGTGCAATTCAAGTCAACGTACGGGAAGTCAACTACTGGATGCCTGTCCTGCAGTTGACTGTTCGGCTCGGTGCGCAAGCGCCGTGCTGACGTTGCTGCAGACGTTCATCGTCCTGGGAGTTTAAACTCGTCTGAAGAGCTGCGACTGCCTTTGTGTTGTTGTTGTTTTCTCTTGTTTCAAGGAGTAAAGGAATGAGTGAAGGTGGTACATCACGGGGGGAGAGAGGGCGGTACGCGCAGCCCTCTACGGTCGGTCGCTGGATGCGTTGTCTGTGTTCACGCCTCTCAGGAGCGCTGGACTGGGCTTTTTATCTCTCCCTTTTTTTTCTGCTTTCGAAGGTTTCTCGATGGCGGCAGATGGCGTAGTAGAGGGGGGGGAGGGAGAATGGACCATAGGCAGTGCTACAGAAACACCTCTGCTTATCGCAGGAGTGTAAAGCGACGGCTTCCTGTTCTCGTCTTCTTGTGGGTTTTCTTTTCTTTTTACTATCGAAAAGTTGTGCTGAATCGGTGGGGTGAGAGGTGCGGCGGGCTGCAAACGTGGGAGGAGTCATGATGCGAAATTTCATTGACCATTATCCGCTGACCAAAAAAATCATTCGGAAGACAACTCGTGATAATCCGCAGAGAAGTCTGAACCTTCCACTGCTTCGTCGTTTCCCCTCTGCGGTTTCGTTCACCCTTTTCATAGTGAAGTTTGAAAAATTAAAGGCGCGAGAGGAACGCATCGCCTCAGCAGGTTGTTTGTTGGAGGAATGGGGCGCTGTAGGTGGGTGTGCTGGGTTGACGTGGCTTTCCCGACGTGATGATACACCGATATATGCACGTCAGTTTGATTCAGAATTTTTCTCATGATACCACGATATGTCGCTTTGCACCTCGAAGGTGCATGTATTCTGACACGGAAGGTCCACCGCTGCCACCTGCGGCGCCCCGCGAACACAAAACCGATGCAGAGGGTAGAAGGAGAAAAGCAATGGGCGCGCTCCCTCTGCGGCATGGAACGCGGATGGCCACTGCACGCCACTTGATAAACGTGTGAGTGTGAGTGTTGTGTTGTATTGGGAGAGGGCTGCCAGCGCAATCCTTCCTTTGAGTCAGTGTGGGTATTCCAATTTTTATCCATTACCCTTCGCTGAATTAGGGAAGGAGAGAAGACGATCCGCAAGTGAAAGGAATGCACGGGGTGGGGGGGGGGGGAAGCGGTCCGCACCGCCGTGGACGTTTCGGTGTGTTCTTCGCGTTTCCCCCATCGCCGTTTGTGGTTTGTAGCTGAGTCAGCGAGCGCCGCACCAGCCCTTATAGAGTCATCGCTGTTGAACGAAATCCTGATGTATTTTTAGAGAAAATAACTGCGGCTTGGTTCTCTCTCCTTTTCGCTTTGCCTTTGCTTTTCTCTTTCCTTTTTTGTCGTTTCAGCGATGAATCGGAGAAGGAGGGGAGGGGAAAGGTAAGGCGGGGGGGAGGAAAGATCCAAGCTGTGGGCATCAAGGGTTTGCCCTACCAGTGTTCCAGCGATGTAGTTAACAGGGCGAGAGTTGCTCGCTGAACAGGACAGCAAGCAGGAGTCGTTGGGAATGAAAGGCTTGGAATTTGGATGTGTTGCTTCGTTTGCGTCTTGCCTTGTTCTCCATGTTATTTGCAGAGGAAAACGGAACAAGAGCCTTTTCGAATACTTCCGATCGCGGCATGGAAATGCAAACTCAAAGATGATAATAATAATAGTATTAGTAGTCATCAACAATGTGACGAAGAGACGTAATGCGGGAAGGCGGAGGGGATGATGACCACCTGTTAATACGATTGTCGTGTAGTCAAGCATGGACCCAAATATATTAAAGAATAGATCATATTACGTCTCTTTTTTGGCTGGCTTCAGTATGGGCTTTCAAATGTATGTATTATTGCTATGTATGTTACTTCGCGCACTCCACCTTCTTTCTTTGCTTCCTCGCTCTTCTTACCTCTTCGCACCATTGCGCTTTATGCTTTCTTTTCAAATATATAAAAATAATAAGAATAAACAAAAATAGGAGTCACAGTGAAAAGAGAAAACGAAGTGTTGTCACCGGCGTTCCATCTCCAACACGCATCGCGCCACAAAAAAACTTGAGAGCGCACAAGCAGCACGAAACCGACGTGAAATATATATCCCAGCCACCTTTCGGAGTCCAACAACGTTAGAGTAGATCTATTTGTGTGTTACTGATTTATCGAGAGTCTTCTTCCTTGAGCACCTTTTTTTTTTTCATTTCTCTTTTCTGATTTGCATGGATCTTTATCTCATTTTTTTCTTTTGATAATATTGTCGCAGTGTGTTTGCATTAACGCCACATAGCAGCGAAGAGTTTTCTACGTGACGAACGTATCTACACGAATAGATTAGAAAAAAAGAATATATATCTGCCCGCAATAGTGCATCGATTCTCTTTCCGTTTTTCTCGGTGAGTGGTGGGTTTTTTTTTTCTGGAGAGGGAGGTGCATCAACAACACACAAAATCTGTTCGCTTGTATGGTTTACGTTTTCTTTTCTTTCCTTTCTTCGTCTTGCGTTCCCCACCGCCTTGGCGAATTCCGTCCAGATCCGAAAACGCAAACTCACGGGAAGGCGCAAAAGCCTCTTTGTCATTTCACCTTTGTTCATCGCGTCTCCTCAACATTTTCTCTCTTCTCTCTTTTTTTCCTTTGGTTCTTTTAAACAATTTGAACTGTCATTTATTTGTGTTTGATCACTACTGTTCCCCTTACCCTTACATTTTATAAACGCATATTTGTTTTCCTGCTGCGGTGTTTATTCTTCTTCTTCTCCCTTTCCCGACCCGCTTTTCTCTCCCTCTCGTCTTCTCGTCCTGTGTGTTCTTCCACACACACACACACACGCACACGCGCCAATTTTTTAACAAAGACCGAGTATTTCTTTTTTGGATTCTTCTGTGAGGCGTTGTTTTGGTTTTCTCTGTTCTTGTTATTTAACGAGGAAGTTCTCTCTCTCTCTCTATATATATATATATTTATTTATTTATTTATTTATTTATTTATTTATTCCTTTTGCGTGTACTTTTGATGTTGTCGGCTGAAGAGAGACGGCGCAAAACGAAAACAAGGAGAGGAGACGCAGTTCGTCGCCTTCGTTGCAGACCGTGATTATGATTGTTAGTTATCATCATTTTTTTCATTCCTTGTTGTTGCTGTTGTTATTGTTGCCCGCTCTCTTCCCCTACTTTCCCTCTCTCGTCAACGACACGATACATAACTTGATTTCTCATTTTGGGACGTTTTTGTTAGACTCTTTGTTGGTATTTTTATAGTTATTATTATTCTTACCGTTTTACGTCAATCACAGCCGCAGCCCGCCGCTTCTCTCGGTCTGCTTCCGCGTTGTTGTTGTTTTTTTGGTTGGTATTGGTCATATTTGAGTCGAATTCATCTCCGCTGTCTCTTTTGTTCCAGCGGAGGGAGACAAACCCACTCGAGCGTAACGCCGCCTCTTTCGGGAGGCCCTGTTGCCTTTACCTTTTTTCTTTCTTTCTTCTTTACCATCTGTGAGTTTATTGGGTGTTATTATTATTGTTATTGTTATTATTCGCTACTGTTGGTGTTGAGCAAAGCGCCGCTGCGTGCTGCGACGCAAAAGCAGAAGGCAAATCACTCGAGGGCATCGTCATCATGAGCGCACCGCAAAATGCGTGCGACTCCGCTCGTCGCGGTCGCGCGTCACCACCGGCGAGAACGCCGCGCACGTCGACCACACCCCGCACCGCGGTGACGTCCTCGCCGTTTTCGCCGCACACCGCCCTCGCACCGCCACCACCGGCGTGGATCAGCAACACACGCGTGGGGGAAAGGGACGTGAGGAGGGAGGCACGCACGCGGCCCGGCGCGCCCGTCATCGCGGCGAGCGACGTCAACGCACTTCCTAGAAAGAAGAAGGTGAAGACGAAGACGAAGACGAAGACGAAGACGACAACGTCCGCAGGAGCCGGAAAGGAAAAGTCGAGAAGGCAAACTCGTCCCGCCACGGCGGCTTCCGGCACCTCACTGTCCACGACGCCGGTGGCGACCACGAAGAGTCACGGCAGTCCGCACGTTCGTCAGAGCTCGCTGCAGGCAACGTCAGAAAGCCACTGGCACGGTGAAGCACACGGCTTCAACAGCGCTAGCTCTCCCCCTCTTCCTCCTCCGCTCATGGGTCTTTCGATGTACGATGACGACTCGGTGGAGCTCGAGGTTCCCTCGGAAACCAGCAGCAGTAGTTCGGACTTCGACTACAAGACGCAGCAGACGCCGATGAGCACGCCGTCGCCCACATCACGGCTTGTGTCGACGACAGCGGCGGAGTCGCTGCCGGTCGCTGCCTCCGCCTCCCCGACCACCACCACCGCCCACACGACGGCGGAGGGCGCGGACTGGACGCGGGCGTCGCCGCAGCTGGCGTCTTTGCCGGACAGCGTCGCTACTGCAAACGTGTCGTCGCCCCCGGCGGGGGAGGAGGAGGCGTTGCGTGCGACCCAACCACCACCACCACCGCCGCAGCACCAGCGAGCCGAGACGGCGAAGATCGACCGGGAAGGCGGTGGTGGGGCTGCGGCTGCCGCTGCAGAGAAACGCCTTTCCAACGTCACGGCGGAGGCGCCGTCAAAGAACGCGGTGGGAGTCGATCGGTCCTCACCGTCCTTGCGCACCCTACCCGTGAGTTGGCCGGCGAGCGAGGAGGACAGTTGCAACAACGATCGAGCAACAACGGTAACAGCGTCACTACACTCGTCGTCGCCGTCGCCGGCGTCTCCCGCTCCTCCGCCGCCGCCTTCTTCTGTGCACGATGACGCCGTAGCTGCCCCAACGAATCTTACCAAAGCAGTCCCACTGAAATCGCCAGCGTCGCCCGACGACCCTCGCAAGGTGGCAAAGAAGCGCGCCGCGACGCGCGAGAAGGCGTCTACCGCCCCCTCTCCTCCTTCTCCTTCTCCTTCCCCGCTTTCGCCTCTGCCCTCCGCGGTGCCGCCGCCAGCGAGCGTGGAAAACGCAACGGAAGCCGCGCAGCAGCAAAACGAGCGGCAGAGAGCGGCGAAGGCCAAAAGGGCAAACATGTCCTGCAACGCCGCGGTGGCGGGTGGGGCGAAGCACACCGAGGAAGTCAGACCTACAGAGAAGAAAACGCTCGTGGAAACCCCACCAGCAACCGCGTGCAGCAAGCGGCCGCCACATTACATGACGGGCACGAGCGTGCGGCCTGTCGCTGGCGCCTCTCCTGCAGTTACTGCTGCTGCTGCTGCCCCGTCTTCATCTACCGCGTCCCCCTCCCTACACAGTATGCCACTCGTCCGTACACGAGTGGCCAGCTCACCCTCGTTGCAGCCCGCTCCGGACTCCCCACGCCTACAGCAACAGTCCCGGCAGCAACAGGAGCTAAGCACTGCGGCACCGCCATCTACGCCGTCGCCAACGACCACACAAACAACCACCACTACAACAGCAATAGCGAAGCTCAACAGCGTTGGTAAAGCTGATTCGACAGGTGCGACGACGCGTGGCAGCCCGCCGCTCACGCCTCCTGCGCAACCGGCCATCGCACCGGCGCGCTGCGCCTCACGCGCGTCTACGTCGTTCGCGGAGCCGTCACTTTCGCCGTCGGAGGACTCCGTCTCACGCCGCCGCGCTCGCCGGGCTGCGGTGACCGCCGCGGCTATCGGCAACGTCAATAATAACGGCGGTGACGGTGCCGCTGCTGCCCCGTGTGTTGGCACGAGCACGCCGAAGGTGCCGGCGCTGCGCCGCGCGAACACCGAGCCCGTCAACGTCCGCAGCCGCGACGAGGGAGAACGGCACAAGTCGCACTCGCGACCCAAGACGGACGCCTCCTCCGTTGCGGCGGCACGACAGTCATCCAGGGCAGACGTCGCCTCGCCCTCCCCCTCCACCCCGCCCCCGCAGGAGCCGCAGCCGGCCACGCTTTCTTTTGAGCTGATGGACCGGTACATCTACCAGAACGTGATGGTCTACCCACCAGCGGTGAACGAGCGGATTGAAATGCCCCCGGTGATGGAGCGTCCACTTTCCTACTACGAACTGGGGATGTGCAGCCGCCACGCAGCGCACGTGCCGGCGCATTACAAGCGGGCGCTGCTGCACGAGCAGCGTGCACTGCTGCGCAACGCGGCCTGGCTGCCCATGACGACGGTGTTAGATCAGCGCAGCGGCGGTGTCGGGGCGATGATGATGGCGGATTTCCGGCACATGGCACGCGTGATTCGCTACGCACAGGAGCGAGAGAACTGGAAGGCGGCGCTGACGCAGCGAGCCGCGTACGACGCGCAGTGTGCGGAGATGATTCACGCAGCGGCGATGTCCAGCAGCACCATGATGAACAACTCCACCAAGTCAGCCAGTGGTGGTTGGCTGAAGGCGGCCAGTCCGTCCGCTCACCGCGACTTCTCAGCCACCGAGGTGGACGACGACAGCAAATCAGCCTCGAAACGAGCGGGGTCTGCGTCTTCGGCGGCTCCGAGAGAGTACAGCGCGTTGTCCGCGTCTGCCAGTCGCGCCACGGCCACCGCTGTTATAGCCGATGCCAAAGCCACGACCACCACCGCCGCAACAGCAGCAGGAGCACCAAAGAAAGAGGCGGAAGACATGGCCAAAGATAAGAAGAAGAAGCAAAAGGATAAGACCGAGATGCCGGCGTTTTTGAGCTGGCTGGTGGATGCTTTCAGCGTAGAGAGGAAGAGGGACAAGAAGTCATCCAAGAAGGCGGCAGCGTCGCGGCCAGCACCCGTTGCGCGCCCCACCGCCGTCTCAGCACCAGCAACATCCACCACCACCACCCCAACCACATCCGCAGCAGCGTTGAAAGCGGCGAGTGAGCTTTCCGTGGCACCGACGCGACCCGCGGCCTCAGTAGTTTCCCCCAATCCGCCTCCGCCCCTCCAATGGGAAAACTCGATCACCGTGTCCCTCTCCTCCACACTACTCATACACGACGGGTCGGCTGCCGCCGCTGCACCTGCGCACGGCAACATCAGCGGTAGCAACGCCGGCAACAACAGTGATGATGCTCGATGTCGTCCTTACGCAGAGGACAGTTCGAGCACCCGGCCTGTCGCCGTCACCGTCGAAACGAGCCCCGCAGCCTGCCCTGCGGACGCCTCCTCGCCGTTTGCAGAGGACCTGCACGTCTCACGCTTTCCGGGGCGCAGCGTCAGCGGCGCCGGCTCGATCGAGCTGCCGCCGCCGCCGATCCCCGTCTTCCGCCTTTACCACTTCCACCCACTGGAGGTCGTGCAGGAGCTAAAGCGGATGGTGTGGTGGGCGGCGGTGCACAAGTTTGTCGTGCTCCGCGTGCTCACGGGGACGATCGCCACCGCACGCGCCGCCGCCGCTGCTGTCGTGGCGAAGGACGGTGATGATGACGTATGCTCCTGCAATGTGTCGCCGCGGCGCAAACGGCACGTCGCGGCAGCCGTGGCAGCCGCGGCGCGAGGAGAAGAGCGCGGTGCTGCCACATCATTGTCGGGTTCTCGCCCGCACCACAACTCGTTTGCCTCGCTATCTTCGTTGGACTCGCGATCGCCCTCAACGGAGTGCGTCAATGACGCGCCGTACGAGGCGGCGTACTTCAACACCGTCTTGTTGACGCTGCGCATCGATCGTTGGCTAGTGCGGCACGCCGTGTTGACCCGGCGAGACGCGGCACGAGGCTTGGTGGAGCTGGAGGTGACGGAGCTGGCCGAGGCGGAGGCCGCCGATGCAGCCCAGCGGGAGGAGAAAACGCTGGAGTCGCAGCTGGCACACCCGCTGACAAACAATGATAGTACTAGTACAGTGGATCGGCAAGCGGCGTCCGCCTTGGCGTATTTCTTCAACGCTGAGACGCATACTCCTCGTTAGCCCTCTCGGTGTGTATGTGTGTGTGTGTGAGTGAGTGAGTTGCACTCTGTTGCGATCTTTTCTTCGTCTTTCATGCTGACCTGCGAGAGATCGTCTTCCACATAAACATATTCCCTCAGACAACCAAAGAGACGGTAGTTTTATGGAGTGTGTGCGTGCCAAAGGAAAACAAAAAAAGAATGCCCGCAGTCACGTAAAGACCAGTCCGGTTTCCGCGAGTTGTGGTGTCCTCACGACCAACGCTCCCCAGTTATGCCGCTGAGATCAGTGTGTATGAAGCACACGTTTCATTCTACCATACACTAACAAAACTCGTATTGTTTAAAGATACGGGAAGCCGCTTTTCCTGAACCCCCTCTTCCCCTCTCCCTACCTCTTTTCTTCTTTTACTGTATTCTTTGGTTTTCTTTCTGGCTGAACTGATAAAGGGAGCGCGTCAGCGTGTCGGTGTGCAGGGTATATTTGTTGTTGCTGCTGTCGTCTCACGCCTATCTAGCATCATGGGCGCCGCGCCACGGCAACCGCCGCAGCTCAGCTGGAAGGCCCGCCTGCACAACTTTTACCTGGCCAACAAGCGCGATGTCTTCTTCGGCTTCGTCGCCTTCTTTGCGCTCGCCACTGTGGCACGGGCGGAGATGATGCGGAAGGGCGTGATGGATCGACCCAAGGCGCAGGAGGTGCACCCAAAGGTGACGCGCGAGTTTGGCAAGAGCCGTCGCAACTCGAACGAGTAAAACCCCACTGATGATAGAGTTGGGGGGAGGAGGGGGGAGGGACTGTCGGCGTGAGTATATGGATGCTTGTGTGGGTTTTGTACTTCTTCGGATACCGGTGCCACGCGGAACACAAGCACACGCGTGTTGGTAAGGCAAGGAGAGAAGAGCGTCGTGACAGGTGCAGCACTCACACAAGCCAAAAACGTGCAAGTGAAAAGTGGAAGACGGTACATGAAGAGTGGACTTCCGTGGGTCGGCGTACCTATCATACATTATCAAAAAAAAGAAAGAAAACAGTCATCAAAGTGTATCTTGTGCTTCTGCGTGCGATTATCCCTATGGAATTCGCCGGCATCAGTATTTGTCGAAACAGAATCTGCCCTCTTTAACAGCCGTGTTCGACTTTATCTTTAAACTGCCGCGCTCTTGGTGCTTCTTCCTCTCAACAAACCCATTCGCGATGTTCCGCGTCAACTTTGCCGTCCCTCGCCTTCTTTGTTTTGAATCTGACCCTCTCTCTCCTTCTCCATCTCTATTTCTCGCGCTCATCCATACATGTGTGTGTGGGGGCCGAACAATCAACACTGTCACGAAACTATCGAAGCAGAGATATCAACAAAACGACCGAAAGAAGGGGAGCCTGCTTCGCCTTCTCTGCGCTCTCTCTCTCTCCCTCTCCTTGTCTCAAACATCTTACACGACGTGCGCACACGGCGACTTGATTCAAGTGCTGTGTCGTTGGTCGCTGTAAGTGGACCAAAAATCTCGTGTATGTATATTAGTTGTGTTTGATATTTTTATTATTCCCCCACAAAACTGTAGAGGACTACGTCTCTTACATGTTAATCTTTACCTGTTCGCCCCACCTACGCTGCTTTTATTTTTTTCCTTTTCCCTTTTTCTTTTCTTGTTGTGTGTGTGTGTGTGTGTGTGAACTGACGTTGTTTCAGCAAAGGAAAACGACAGCCTTCGTATAATTCCCTTCTTACGTGTGTGTGTGTGTGTTTCTGGGTGTTTGCATTCGTATTTGCTGAACAACAAACGCGGAGGGAGAAGAGAAAAGCCAAAGTAACGAAACGCGAAGGACTCGCGACCTAACACTCCCCCGTGTATTTGTGTATAAAAGTATAGAAAGACGCATCTGTGTGGGCACGCCTTTTGGGCAGCTGGTTTTTGCCGTTTTTTTCCGGCTTGTTTGTTTTCTCTTCTTTCCCTGAGCCGCACGAGACGAGGCAGCAAGCCCGCTTCTATTGTATCTTCTTTTTTTCTTTCTCTTTTGTTTTGTTGCTGTTGTTGCTAGGGAGCGTAACGCGTTCTTTCTCTCTCTCTCTCGCCTTGCAGAGCCACGTTTGGCCGCACACACCTACACCAACATAACAAGCAAAAAAAAAAATAGTAATAAGGATACCAGTGAAGCATATCTGTATATATCTAAACGAGAGAGCGAGAGAAGCCCAATTGGAGCTGGCGAAGAGTCCCCTCTGCATTTTGCGCTGCCTTCTTCCACCGTTCTTTTTCTTTTCTTTTTTCGCGTGTCTTTGTAGCGTGTATATTGTGTTGGTGGTTGTGTCGAACCCAAAGTTGTAGCTCGCCGGCTCGCTCTCCTTTTATCTTTATCCAAAGAAAAAAGAGAAAATCCTTTTACAACCAAACTCCACCCTTTTCATTGAAATTTTTTTTTCTTCTTTGCTCTTCTTTTTTATAGAAACCAAACTGCGAACGTAATTACCCTCTCTCTCTCTAGCCGTCATGGTACGTAAAGCCGGCCTCAAGGCGGGACCAAAATCTAGCGCAGCCACGTCCACCACTAGCGGCAATTCGCGGCCCAACGCCGCGGCGGTTGGTGGAGGTAACGGTGGTCAGCGACGTGGTAGCCGCACCAATGAACTACAAAACGCGGCCCAGCGTGCAACGTTACTCTTCCAAGTCTACGACTCCGCCGCTGCGTCGGTGCTCGCGGACCCGTCGGGGCAGCTCCCCTCTCCGCCGCCGCCGTCGCTTGCGACGCTGAGCGGGGCCGGTGGGGGACGCGGTGGTGGTGGTGGTGGCAGCGGGGCGGTCTCTGCTGCTGCCGCCGCGCGTGCAGGCAAGGCCAGTAACGGGTCGTCGCCTCGGACAAACGCATGCGACGAACTCAGCAGCGGCAACACCAATAGTCACCATCACCACGGCAGCAACCATACCAACAGCAATAACCGCAAGGAGAGGCATTCCGGGTCGCCACATAAGCTGAGCGGGGATGCCACCGCCTTACCGGCGCGTGGGTCGGCCGGGATGACGGACACCCCGGCGGCGATGGGGGCGGTAGCGCCACCTCCGTCTCGCAGCAGCGACGACACCGTGTTGCCGCGCCCCTACGCAACAGGAGGCAGCTACGTGAATGAAATTCCGCGACTGAGTGTGTCGGAGCCGCTGCCGAAAACGAACACCACGACGGTCGTCTCCGCGGCGTCCCACAGCAGGCGGGTGAGTAAGAAGTCCGGCGAGGCGCAAGGGTCGAAGCAAAAGTCGAGCAGCCGCAGCCTGCCGCGTAAGTCCTCGCAGCTGAGCTCGGACAGCGGCGACAGTAATCGCAGCGGACGGCCGCGCGCGCTGTCCCTCCCCCGCACCCGCGAGAGCGTCGGGGAAGTGCTACCGCGCCTTCGACCCGTGCGGACAAGCAGTGACAATGCGGATATGAATTGCAAGAACATCGGCGACGCGCTGGGCGCCGGCTCCAGTCCGGGCCGCCCACGCGGCGCCCCCGGTGACTCCCAGCGGCTCCTGTCCTTTCCAAGCGCGAATGCGGGGTCGCTCTCGCCGAATACCGCCGGGAGTGCGGCAGCGGGCGGTCCGGCCGGCAGGTCGGCGCCGGGAGATCCCGAGGTGGGCGAGCTGCGGGAGGTGTTGAGTGCGCCGCCGACCATGTTCTCTTCCTTCACGACGAGCACCTCGCCCCAGCAGATGCTGCACCGCAACCGCGACCGCAACGGCGGGGCGCGTCCGCGTGAACTCGCGGAGTTGCCAGTGGAGTTGGAGGCGCTGTCGGAGGGCGGCGGTGATCGCGGTGGGGGTGCAGCGGTGGGTGCCGTTGCACGCCGGCACAGCAACGGTCTGCTAACGCGCTCGGTGAACGCCAAGGTCCCCACTCCGCCACCGTTTCCCTTACCGGAGAAGGATTCCACCAAGAAGGGTAAAACAGCGCCGCTAGACGACAAGTACGAAAACTTCGACGATGCCGACGACGAAATCTGGGGCGACCCAGAGACGAGCCAGACGGACCCAACGGGGCACATGTTTAGCAGCACGCAGCTTCTCTCCAGTCTCCGGCCGAATCCACGGAGTGACGCGGCGGTGGCGGCGGCGGGTGGTGGAACTCCAGCGGTGCCGTCACACGCTGCTCGTCCGCAGCCGTCTCGCCCCGCCGCACGGGACGCCTCCGCGGGTGCGTGTGCAGCGTCGCCGACGTACAAGTTCAACGTCGTGCTGAGCAGCGGCAAGACGGGGACGATACCGATTTCGCCGATCGCCGGCAGCGGCTGCGTGCAGGGGATGCGCCCAACCATGGAAGACGCGCACTTCATCGAGCTCAACGCGACGCACGTGCGCGGGCAGCCGCTGTCGTTGATGGCGGTGCTGGACGGTCACTGCGGCCGGCACGTGGCGGACCTCGGGGCGAAGTGGCTGCCTTATTTCGTTCTGCACCACCCTGCGCTTGGCGAGAACAACGCCCTCGCGCTTGTGGAGTCGATCCTCCAAACCGATCGCGAGATTTTCCACATATTGCAGGCGAAGAAGCGCGAGCTGGAGCAGCAACGCAAGTCGGGGCGTAACACCGGCCGTCGTCGACGCGATATGTACGAGGAGATGCTGGATGAGACAACGGGTGCGAATGGCGGCTCGACGCTGATCACGGCGGCGGTGTGCGGCCGCATGTTGTACGTCGCCTGCCTCGGCGATGCGAGGGCCGTGCTCTACGACGGGCAGACGACCATTGCCATGAGCGAGGACCACAAGCCCGGCAACACGGACGAGACACGTCGCATTGCGAAGTGCGGCGGTTTTGTGCAGTTCGGCCGCGTCTGTGGCATTTTGGCGGTGAGCCGCGCCTTGGGCGACTTCGAGTTCAAATTTCAGCCCTCGTCGACGTCGGACGAGGAGGGCTTGCTGACGGACTTTCCTTTCGGTTTGCAGCGGGAAGGAGATAGCGCCGCCGCAGCAGCAGCAGCGGCGCCGCCTCCCCCACCGCCACCGCCGCCTCCCTCTGCGTCTCCAGCGAGTACCTCTCCCCCGAATTCGCAGACAAACCGCCGCTTTATCTCGAACCGTGATTTAATGGTGAGTAACGTGGCCGATGTGCGGCAGCTGAACCTCACCGACGCGTCGGCATTTTTGCTGCTCGCCTGCGATGGCCTGTGGGATGTATTAAGCAACGAGGAGGCGACGGAGTTCGTGCGCGACTTCTTGAGTTACACACCGGATGTGTGCGACCCCCGCATCCTCTCCGGGGAGAGGCCGCGTCCCTCGCCCGAGGCGATTCGGCGGGTGCTGAACAACTGCTGCCAGAAGCTGACGGAGTTCGCGGTGGACCGCGGCAGCATGGACAACGTCTCGGCGATGGTACTGTTCTTCCACGACGTCGTGGACACGGTGGCGCGCTTCAATGGGCGGCAGTCCGCCTCGCGGGAGAGCCGCAGCAGCAACAACAGCGGCGCGACGGGCAGGGAAAATTCGCGTGGTTTGCGTGGGCGTCCGGGGCAGGGCCGCGGCTCCACGCAGTCGTCGCTGCCTTCGCCTCCGGCCTTTGAACTCACAAATAATCAGGTGAAGGTGCGCAATGGCCGTGTTGTTTCCCGACGCTAAGCAACCTTTATTTTTTTCTGACTTTTCCTTCTTCTCGATGTTAGGATCTTTTCTTCCTCCTCCTCCTTTTCTGTTTCCGTTGTTTATTTGTCTGTTTGTTCATTACCTAAATGATGTTCCTGGAGAAGGGGAACAAAACCGAGAAATATGATGTACTTCGCTTCGTCTGACCTTGCACCAATGCCAATCGTTGCTCTTAGTATTATTTGGTTTACACATATATAATTGTTTGCTGCACGTTACTGCGTTGTGTTTGACCAAGTCCCCGTACATACACAGAGGCGTCAATTCAGATTCAAAACGCCTCCTGTTTTCACACTCACACATTATGTGTTTTATTCCTCTCTCGCTTCTTGGATTGCTATTATTACTATTCTTATTTTATCTTTCTCTCCTTTTTTTAGTGTTATTACTTTGTATTATGTAGAATTCGGTCTTCCATATCGCAGAAGCACCTCCGCCGACTTCCGGCAATTCCCTTTTTCCTCGGTTGGTTTGCTTGCTGTTTTTTGGGGGAAGGCTTTTTTTGTTTTTCATCTTGGTGGGGCGGTGGAATTCTGTTTTGCCCTTTTCTCCCCTTTGGCTGCTGTGATGAAAATATATGATGATATTTATTTATTTATGCGTACTTTTGTGGTGGTGGTGGCGGTGGTGGTGGTGGTGGTGGGTCCGTTGATGACTGCTCTTCCTGTCGCGCGCTCGATATGAATGACGCGTGATGAGGCGGAAGTGAAGAAGACTGGAAGCAAAAACGGGAAAAAAAGGTGGTGCACATCTTTCTGCGACCGCGTCCTTGGCAGTTTTTTTTTTGCCCCTGTTACCGTTATTGTTATTTCTTCTTTTTCTTTTTCTTCCTTTTTTATGTAGCGCCTAACAATGTGCGAGGCACTGCTTGCTATACGTAGAGGTGCAGTTTGTTGTCGTTTGTACCCCTCCCCCCCCTTCCCTCCTTCCCCCCGTCCCCGCCTTCTTCCTCTCCACTCTTCTTTTTAACTATCCTGTCTTCTTCAATTTTGTTTCTATGGTTGGTGTCGGTTTTGTTTTTTCTTCTTTTTAGAAGCGTGCCCCGTTTCGTGGTGTGGTGCTAACTCGCCCTCTGTGTAGCCTCTGTTGTATATAGCGCCTTCCTGTATGAATTGGTTTTCTTTATATATATATATATATATATTTCTTGTTGTCTACGCGAGTGTTTCTACCACACTCTGCTTCTTTTACGATCACCAAAGGGTACGTGGCGGTACGTGTGTGTGGGTGTGTCTTTTCTCTTTTTGCGTTTTTTTCTTCTGTTCTCGCTATTCAGCTTATGTACACGTACCAACAAAAATAACGGACAGTTGCGTGACTTCTCGAAAGGCGGTGCGGTTAGTTCGGTAAAGATTATTTGTTGATGTACGATCGAGGAAGGAAGAGTAGAACGAGAGAGGCGCTTCGACACTTGTGCTTCGCCTCACTGCCCTGCTTTTAGGACCGTTCTATCGCTCACCTCTGCGGGAGCTAGGGTTTGCACGGAACCACCACTTTGGATCGTATGTGGTGGAGAGGGAGAAGAAGCCGTCTATCCTGTTCATACATTCACGCTGCTCCCCATCTCTGCTCTCTTTCTCTCTCAATTTATCATCGCCACCACGCAAGTGCGGGCATAGCAACGACGTCGCAGTCAAGAGGAATACCTATACATATACAACAGAGAGAACAAACACGGCTGATCGTTCATCAGGTGTCCGGGACTCGAAATCACTTCACCTTTTCATTGCCCAAAGATTCCTCCGTACGCGCGGGTGAACCCTATCTCAAACACAGTGAAAAGGAAAGAAAAGACCCAGTACCTCAGTGGCTTTGGCTGTCGTTTGTCTGGTTGCTGCTGTTATAGTTGTCATTATTATTATTGTTGTTTTTCTAAGAAACCGTGTGGTGGTGCCGTCACGAGGAAAAATCCTTCTTCACGCCGCCCCACTCATTGACGTTCTTTTTTGTTTGTTTGTTTGTTTGTCTCCGATTGCTTGTGGCTGCCTTGCCCTTTCACGATGATCCTCACCAAAGACGAAATACAAACGATCACCCTCAACGCCAAGTTCGTGCACAAGTATGCCGACCAGGTTTTCTTCGTGAGTGGCGTCAACGACGCACCGCAGCGCGTGGGCGACCAGCCGTTTCTCAACTTCTTCGTCCGCTACCACCACCGCGATGCCCCGGAGCGCTACTCGTGGTCCCGCGTACGTCGAGTGCTGCTGCTGTCAGACGTGAACAGCGCGGCGCAGCGTACCGGCACGGCACCGACGGTGGAGTGGCGCGGCAAGACGATTTGGGTCTGTTTGGCTGTCGAGCCGGTGCAACACCATACGCGTGCGGCCTCTTCTGCCGCTGCCGGTGAAGTCCAAGAAGAGGAGCTTGTGATGCTGCCGCAGCTATCGAACACGGTGCCGACGGAGGAGGAGGTGCTCGCCTTCTGCGTCGCGAGCGCCAACCAGCGACCAACGGAGAAGTACACAGACGGCGTGCTCGGTGACGCACCGGTGGCACCGGCGTTGCTGCCCGACACGGCGCTTTCGGATGCGACAACCACCTTCACCGCGACCGCAACGGCAGCAGCGGTGGATGCTGCGGATGGCAGTGTGATGGCACCCATCCCAGCAGAAGCGACTACAAAAACACCGGCTGCCGCTGTCGCCGACGCGCCCACATCGCTCAATCCGCGTGTGTTCGTGCCTACGCACCGTCAGGTCGAACTGCTGCGTCAGTACAAGAAGCAGCACTTCACGCACCATCAGTGGACCGAGGAGGAGATCGAGCAGTCCAAGGTACTGCGGCAGCGGTACAGCAGTATCGGCGTGGCTGCGGCGCCGGTGCGCACCGTGGCGTACGAGCACGAGCATCGCGTGGTGGAGCGGAAGCAGCGGACCGCCGCCACCGCGACGGCAGCGCCGGCCAGCCAGGTGCGAAATCTGCTGGAGGAGGTGGAGGTCACGCAGGACCCGCTGTCGGAGCACCAGACCGCTCGTGGCGACGACCACCCACGTACACATACACAGCATGCTACGTCTTCAGCAGCACGGACACCGACGTCGCCGTCCGCTACGGTGTATCTGCACGATGCGCCGCTGTCCCCCTTCTTACCACGCAGTGTTCTCCGCCTTCAACAGCAGCAGCAATATAGGCCGGCAGCCACCGCCTTTGCCGATCGGGCGTCGTCGGACGAGCAGCCTTTCTCGGCCGCGATGCCCGGCGCGCATCCATCGGCGTCTTCCTACTCTTCGCAGCTGGACGCGTCGTCGCAGACGCAGGGCGCGGAAACGCTCTCGTCGCTGTCGCGGCACCTTTCGCAGCTCCGCGCCGCCGAGGACTCCTTCTACCGGTACATCAGCGATGAGAAGCGCAGCCACTACCTGAACCGGCTTGCGAACATCACGCTTCGCAACAGCGCGACAAACGCGCAGCGCCGGCGGCGCGGCATTGCGAACGAGCGGCGGCTGGAGCGGAAGGGCAATCTGCTCGAGTCGCGTGGTCTGTGGATCACGGATGACAAGGAGCGGGCGAAGCAGGCCGATGACTACGTGAAGACCGCCGTCTCCGGCTCGTCCGACGCACAGAAGAGCGACGAAAAGCGGGCGGCAAAGAACGCGGTGGCGGGCAGCGCCGGCGCCGGCGAGAGCAGCGCCACGACTAGCAGCGCGGAGGACGCCTTTGTGGAGAAGTTCAAGGCCTACCACGACGCACAGCGCATTTCCTTCGCAGACTGCGCGGATGATCTGCTGAGTGGGACGGATGCAGATGTGGAGTCGATCGTGCAGGCGGCAGCTGTTTCTGCGGCGGAGGCGGAGAGGGACGCCTCAGCCAACGGCACGAGTGACAACAACGGTGGTGTGTCGAGTCCAGTGCGGGTGGGTCGTCGTGCGGTGCGCCGCTTGCTGCCGAATCGACTCAACACGGAGGAGGCGACCCCGCTGGCGGTACAGGCGCAGCTGGTGCACCGCAGCACCGTCCGCATGGCGAAGCGTGTACGTGAGGAGTAGAAGCCTATTGCTGAGATCATCTTCCCTTTTTTTTTCAGGTTTCCCTCCTTGTGTTTATGGGCGCGTGTGTCTTAGGAGGTGATAGTTAAGAACGCTTGCTTACGCGGTCCTCTTCGGGCCGTTCTGTTTTTCTCCTTCCGTGGAAGTGACGCTTCGGGCCGCACTCGGGCGTGATCGTCGTCGTCGTCTCTTTGGCACTGACGCGATGCGTGTGTGCGTGACACTCTATCAGAGTACTTTTCTTCGTTTCCTCTTGTGCGCATCTATGTATTGTCTGTTCGTGCTGTCTGTTTACCCTCCCTCTCTCCTGCATGCCGCCCTGTGTGTGCGCGTGTGTGTGTGTGTATGTGTGCAACTTCGCTCTGACGCGTGTGGCAACATCCAAAAGAATGAAGGAGAGGCTCCTATCATATGAAGAGAAGCAGCGGTGTAACCTTTCGCAAACGCTGTTTTTGTTGTTGGTGTTGTCTTAAGGCTTAACAGTATAAATGGAAAACTTGTATTGTAAAAAAAAAGGGAATCACAAACTTCGTTTTGCTGGGAATAGAACTATCATTACCGAGGTAGAGGCCTCTCTTTGTATATATATATATATATAAAGCAAGCTTTCCTCTTTCTTTCCTTCGAGGTCTGTCTCGCAGGACGTTGCAGCTGACGAGCACCAACAGGATTATTTTATTTCTTGTGGCAGTGGCGGTTTTTGTCTTCTCAGCCGATGCAGCCGCTGCCTTCGGTTGCGCTATGGATCCAACTCCCCGTGTTCTCCCCTTCTTCGAAGTACGATCCTTGCCGTCTTTTTTCTTGTCTTTTCCTTGTCACGTGTCGGAGCATTGAACGCACAATCTGCTTTGAACTCCCACAGCTGGTTTTCCCCCTCTCAGTGCCGTCGCGGCTTCCGTTCTTCCGGTAAAGAGAACAGCAACGATTGAGAGAGATACAATACCTTCACTAGACAGCACATGCGCAGATGGGAGGCCCAAAGGCAGATGTGACCGCCTTCCAGCTAGCTGCGGAACTCGCCTCCCGTGCGTCGACGTCAGCTTCTGCGGACGGCACACCCACGCACACGAATCGCTGTACTAGTAGCAGCAGCATCAACAATAAAAATGAAGACAGCAGCGCAGTCCCGGCAAAACGACGCGGTCCGCTGTCGCAGGTGGATCGCCTCCTCGATGATCAACGGCGCCTTGCGCTTCGTGATGGCACGCCTTACGATGACTCAGGCCATCTAAACACGCAGGCACGACCGTCGGTGACGCCGACGACGATGACGAACACGTTCGCCCTCGCGCAACAGCAGCGCATGCCGCAGGAGATGTACGGGCACGCCACATCTTTTTCTTCCTCTGTCCACGGTGGCAGTGCTGCTGCACTGCAGGAGGCGCTACGTCGCTGGGGTCTCGTGGAGAACGGTCAGGCCGTTGGTGCGTTTGGGAGTCCCACCGGTGCGGATGCGCGGCCTGGTGGGGCCGGTGGACCGTCGGCTTCATCGCCGTCGTCGTCCCCGCAGCTTCGGCACACGTGGCGCCTTATGGAAATGGAACGACGACAACGGCCTGGCTCGTCGCACAGTTCCGCCGCGCTCCCCACCGCCACCTCTACCGCCACTACGACATCGTCCACGGCAACCGATGCGTGGAGTCTGGGCCAGCGATGGACGAGGTCAGACGATCTCGTGCGAGCCAAGGCGCTGCAGAACGCGTTGCGAGGCGAGCTGACACAGCGACAAAAGAGTGTAGTCGACGGCCACAGCACAGCAGCCGGCAGCAGTGGGGATTCCTTTTACGCACGCGGGTTACAGCTGTGTGCGGAGGGGAGTGCGTGGAGCCCGGTCTCGCTGCCCGTCTACTTCGCCACCGCGCCACCGTCCCTGTTGTTCTTCTCCTTTACGGAGGAGGAGTACAGCGCCTTAACGCAACCGCCGCCGCTGCGGCCGTCATCGGCCTTCACGTTCACCTACGCCCTTTCGTGCTACCTCTTTGAGTTGTGGTCCCGCTTTGGTAACCCGGTGGTGGTGGTGGACAGGTGGGCGTGGGACGCTACGTGCGAAGAACAGCAGCGGCAACAGCAGCGGTCCACAACGTCGTGTGTGGTGTCACGGGGAATGATACAAAGCGGCGGTGCCGCTGCTGTCGCCGATGATGAAAGGAGAGAACCGTCGGTGCCGTCGGTGGAGCAGGTCTGCGCCGAGTACGCTCGCGTGACCGCTGGTGTGCTGCAGCAGCGCCAACAGCGACTCCTGAACGCCGTCCTCAAGCAGCAGCAGCAGCAGCAGCAGCTAGACCAGCAACCGCAACATCAAGGCAGCGGGGTGCGAGTGTCGGCCACCGCCACCGCCGCCGTCGCGGCTGCAGCGGCTTGTGCGGTGGACGACGTCGCCGTGAACCGGCACACGCCGTTTGTCGCGTCCTTTGACCGTTACGCGCTGCTGCACTCCGTGAGGGACGAGCCTAAAGGAGAGGCGAAGGACAGCGCTAGAGTTGGAAGTCCCGCGACGCAGCAGCAGCAGCTGTTATCGTTGACTTCGCAGCCCTCCCCTCCACCCAACGACCCGTACACGGCGTCATCCTCGACAGCCGCCATCGGCGCGGTGCGGGCAGAAGGGTCCGCAATCCCCACCTCGAGTGTCTCTCCTTTGCCGGCTCTCCGCGACCTGTCGGCGGGCCTTCCACCGCAGCAGCGGCTCATCCAGTGTGCGACCCCGCACCCGTGGTATCTGCACACCGCGGAGGTGCAGCGACGCACGGAACTGCAGAAGTTGCTGCGTTCCGAGCAGGCCACCAACGTACCCTATCAGAAGGCGGTGACGACGTACTTGGCCTTGGCGGCAAGCGCAGCGCAGGTACTGCAGCGCGCTTCGTACCTGTTTGACGACCGGGACAGAGCGGAGGTGATGGCGGGCGAAGCGCGAGGAGCGCATCCGCGTTCAAAGGGGAGTGCCACGCAAGGGAAGAGCGAAGACGACGGCGACGATGGGCGCATCGGTGACGCTCCTCCTCCGTCCGATGCACCACCAGCGTTCAGCACGGTGGAAGAAGGGTTTGTCCCTCCTCCGCGCGAAGCTTTCACGGTCCATCTCCAGCCGCTTCCTAACGTCGATCCTGCGGCGTGGAAGGCGGCAGAGGCGGCGCTGCGCAAGGCGGCAGTCGAGGTGCTCGGCACTGCCGCCCTTCGGTTGCCCTCCGGCGCGGGGCAGCACAGGCCTCATCTATCGCGCCGAGGCAAGCGTTCTCGCAGTAGCGCGCCCCGCCAAGCCTCCAAGCGGGCGAAGCGACACAACGAGGAAAGCGCCAGAGCCGCAACTGCAATCACAGCTAAAAGACAGCACGACGGTGCAGCAGTCAAGAGGGAAGCAAAGGACGTTGACAGCGGTGGAGATGGCGATGACGGGGATGGCGGGCGACTAGCTCGTGGCAGCAGCGAATCCTCTGTGTCATCCAACAACGGCACGGACGACTCCGAAGGAGACGAGGAGGCGGATGAAGAGGAAGACACGTTGAGCGGAGGCAGCGATCAAGACGACGACGATGACGAGGCGGCGGCAACGCACCCTTCACAGGAGCACAGCGCGTTGAGCGAAGACCTCGTCGCTGAAGACGAAGATGACGAGGATGATGATGATGTTCGCGCTGTTGACGAAGCTTCCGAACAGACGCAGCAGCAACAGCGGCAACGCCGCGGCAGGGGTAAGAAGGTAAAACGGTCTCCCAAAGGGTCTCTCTCCTCCGGACCTACCTATCGCGCGCTTCAGGCGTACCTGACGGACGTCATTCCTTTCCGCTGCACTCGCATGCGACTCGCGGCCCAGGCGGGTTGGCTGCTGCCAACTCCGCCGCCGCTCCCGCACTCGCTGACGAACCCGCTGAGCGAACGCGAGGTGGTGGTAGTGGACGTCCACGCGGCGCTACATCAGTCGCCCTATACCCCACGTGAAGCACAACCTTCTGATGGTGCTGCTGCTGATGATGCTGATGGCGATGGTGCTGATAAACGCAGTGTGCAGAGCACGGAGCACAGCAATGCGTCGCGCAAAGCTGCGGCGGTCTTCTCCAACTCCTCCACCGCTTCAGTCGCCTGCGCGGAAGCGACTCGCAGCCCCAACAAACACGAGGAAAGTCTATACCAGCCGATTCTGACAGAGGAAGACTATCAGCAACTACGAAAGATGAGCACCTCCGCGGTGTGCAACCGAGTCGTGAGTCACACCGGTGAGGCGGTGCTCTTGTCGCTGCCCCCGGCCTTCCCCAAGGTGCACCGCGAGGTGGAGCAGGAGTTAGAGCGCTACTTGTACGACGACACGTCCGCCATGATGGAGGTGAACGCGACGGCGCAGTCGCTCCTGGCGGAGATACGAGTCGCCTACACCCAAAACACGCACCTGCAGCGCTACACGGCCCGCGTAGAGCACGTGGTGGAGAGCTTGAAGAAGGTGGAGCAGGAAGGCAGAGAGGCGGGGAGGACCGCTGGTGCGGGTGCGGGGTGACCTGACGAATTCGCTGTAAAAAAGAATTTAAAAAGAGAACATCTCGGACTGGGGGACGTGAAGAGGCGCGTTCACCGGCTGATTTGTGTTGTTGTTTGTTTGTTTGTTTTTGCTACTGATAATGGTGCTTTGTCTCACCGTTGGTGGGGGAGAAGCAAGTGCCTTTGGTAGCGTGTGTGTGTTCCCCTTCGATTCCTGCTAAACTTAACTTCCAAACGGAGAAGAAACACGATAGTAAAGAATGCAAAGCAAGAACATAACATCGTGATGAAGAAAAAGTGAAGAAAGCACTTGCTGGTGGTCTACGCAGCCTTTTTTCTCCCATTCGATCGCCCAAGCTATATATATTGAGCGCCACGCATGTGCCGACGGTTATCGTTTCCCCACGCTTTTAAAAGCACCTGCTGGAGGGTGGCTCTTTAACCTCCTCCTCCTCCTGCGGTCCGATGCACGTGAGACGAGACGGTGGTTTCTTCTTGCTGTTTTTTTTTTTCGCTGGTGCGTCTCTTCCCACTCTGCTCCATCACCGTTTCCCTGTGCCCTTTCTTTGTTGTTGTTGTTTGGTTCCCTCTCTCATGCAATGCACCGGAAACTCAACGAACAACCACGAAGGTCGAGCCACGGAACGCCATTACTTGTTGCGCTGAGCGGGAGTACCAGCGTGGCGCTCATGCGGCCTTCTCTGTGGCAGAAAGCAGCATCGCCTCCCTTCTCACTGGTGTCTCGCACAAACCGTGATGCTGGTGGAGCGGTAGTGCAAAACTTGATCATTGAGGTCAGCGATCTCAAACGACGCCAGCAAAATGCGGTGGAGCTGAAGACGTGCATTGCGGCGCGTTATGCGTTGTCTGTCAGCGGTGTGTCGTGCAGGCTTCGTCGTCACGGGCCCTCTGCCGTTTCGTCTCTGTTGTTCGCTACGAGGTCACACAAGGGTGGTCTCAGCAGCAGTCGTGGACACACTTCTTTGAGCACATCCCTAAGGTCGTGGTGCTTCCCGGCAACGGCACTGCGTGCGCCTTCGCCGTCGCCACCCTCACCAACAACCCGCCCGTCATCCGTGCGTTCTTCCTCCTCCACCACCCTTTCAACGACGAATAACAGCAGAGATGATTTGAAGGAAGTGGTGTGTGCGTGCATTCCGCGTGCGCCGCTCTGCGCGAAAGTGACAGCGGTGCAATATCTCGTCCTTCAGTACGAATCCGCTCACCCAATCTGGGGGCCTCTCAGTCATGTTGACCGGCAGAAAAGTGGCGATGAGGAGCCAACTCAAAGGCAACCGCTGCAGCAGCAGCAGCGCGGTTTAAATGAAACCGCATGGAGCAGAAGTCGCTCACCGGAAGCGTCGTCTGCGCACGTGAGTGAGCCCCGTTACGCCCTTAGCAACGAGGGGCGCCTTCGCTGTATTCGCGCTTCGTACGGCTCCTTCAGAGAAATGCTCATCTCCATGGCGCAGGAGCGTCTCGGCAGCGACAAGTTAGCGCGCGAGCACCGCGCCACAGCGGCGGGCAGCCGCAACGCAGCCGCGGCGGAGGAGGAGGTGTACCGCGGCGGTGGTCGCTACGGCATTTACCTCTCCGTCGACCTTGTCTTCGTCACGATCGCGTCGTCGGCGCTGGAGGCGGGACGGGCGTTCCGTAACGCCTACGTGCCGCTTTCAGAGCAGGACTTGGTGTACATGCGAAATGCGCTGCCGGCGATGGACAAGGAAACAAGCCGTCAGCAGCTACCGCAACGCTCCGCGACGGAAACGCAGCCGTTGTCGGTAGAGTCAACCGTGAACGTCACCGGTGATAACGACACGGAGGATCTGGACGAGGAGAACGTTGTTGACCCCGCTATTTACTGCTACCCGTTCTTTCCCGGCTGGGGAGTCCATCTCACTGAGCGAGCACGCGCGGCACAGACGGAAAGCAAAGTCCTCTCGCAGACACTGCAGCTGCGCAGCGCTAAAAACGGAGACACACTTATCGAGACGTACATCCCGTACTTCGGCGACGACTTCATTCCGCCGCCGCCGCCGACGGAGTTCGTGGCCGGCCCCGCACAAGGTAGTTGCAGTAGCAGTAGCAGTAATAGCCGTAACCCGTCAACGTCATCGCCGTCAGCGGGAAAGGATGCGGCGCCGACTGGGGTGCCGGCCGTCGAGCCGTCCACCAGCACCTTCACACCACAGCAAATTGAGGCGCTGCTCCCGACTTACTTCGTACCGATGGACGCGTTTCTGGCGCAGCTGCCGGCCGGTTACACGGCCGACCACGTGCGCGCCGTCTTCAGCGAGACGAAGGCGGTGGAGACGGTGCAGCTGGGCGGCAACACGTTCATACGCTTTCACGGTGGCCGGGACGGAGAGGGCTTCTCCAAAACCATGCTCCACGATCAGCAGCGGCGACTTGATTTTGTGGAGCCGTACGATGCAGCCACGGCGAGCAGCGCACTCGAGAAACATCGCCCAAGTAGCAGCACGAGGGGAGAAGAGGAAGAAGCGCAGCTGCGTCGCGGCATCGCCGCCTTTAAGCCCGATCCGTTCCTCCTCTACGCCTTTCTCCCGCTCTTTACGCGGCCCTTTCAGTGGCTGCCGCTTTACGACGTCGTGCAGCACGCACCGGCCGCGGTGCAGAACAAACTCTTGCCACTGCGAGCGCAGCTCACGCTTCTCTACTTTGCTCAGCAGCAGCAGCGGGTGCAGTTCACGCCGCAGAATGGGGGCGGCGTCGCGCTGTGCGGCCCCCCGACCCGGTCGCTGCGTCCGGAGACGACCCCGCTGCCCCGTGTGCTGGCGGAGCTGTGTGTCTTGATCAGCAACCGCGGAGTGGTGTACGTGGAAGAGCTGGAGAACGACGCGGGGCAGTTACTGAGCGATTACGCGAAGCGGCACATCATCGCGTACTTCGGCACGTTGCGCCGTTTTTTGTTTCAACACGAAGCATCGTTCCGCCTTTCGGTATTTACCTCTCCGACGACGTTGTATGAGGCGGGCGCCGCCACAGGAGAAAAGGAGGCAGGGACGGGGAGTGAGCAACGCGCACTGGGTGCGCAGGGCCCTGCGAGTCTGCCCACTTCCTCCCCCGCACAAACTTCTCCTTCGCCTGCCGCAGCAGCGACAGCAGACAACACACCAAGAGACGGCAAGGAGGCAAATGACAGGCACCACACGACTGAAACGGCGTTGCCGCCGCGACCCGGTGCCGGATTCATCACCAACGCGCCCCCACAGTTCCTGCACTTTAGCGCCAGCAATTTCCCACCACACGAGGGCGGCAGCAGCGACGCCGCCGCCTCTCCCTCCGACTCCGCCGCAGACGCGCTGCGGCAGGGTGTGGTGCACACGCCAAATATCTCGCGTGACGAGGCGCAGCTCGACGTGGAGGGCTTTCCTCGCTGGCTCGCCTCGCGTGACCTCGCGGTGCAGCTGGAGAAGGAGGCGAAGCTGCACGACCGCCATATGGAGTCGTTGACAGAGCAACTGGAGGTGGTCGAGAGGTCCAATTCACGCAAGGGGCGCAAACTGCGCCGTCGTCTCGCCGCCATCGTGAATCCAAACTCCCCATTTAGCGACCCTGCTGTGTTGCTGGACGCCATCCTGCGCTACCTCCCACCCACCCGTCATGTCTCCCTGAAGGCGCTTCTCGCAGCACTGCCGACGTCTATGAGCGATTTCCTGCCGAACGACCCGGTCCGCCTTTTCCGCAACAGCCCCGACAAGGTGCAGCTCTTTGAGTACCGCCGCAAGAACCACCTACGGGTGATGCGACCGGGCCTGCCGCTGCCCGACGGCCGACTCCGCGCCTCCTACACGGAGGAGGAGCTGCTGCATCTCATTGCCGCGCAGCTGCCTCCGGGCCAGGGGATGTACTCCAACGCCCTGTACGGCAATCTGCCCTACGGCGCGCGGGAGGCCATCCGCCTGCGTCACCACCACCTCGTTACCCTCGTGGAACGCTACCCACAGTATTTTGTGGTTGTGTTCTCAGACGCCGCGAAGGAGGCGAAGCACCGGGCGCGCGTCTCGCTGCTGCGGCCGCCGCCCGCGCCGAGAGACTGGTCAGCGAACGACGTCGCGTTTGAGTCTGCGCTGACGGCCGAGGAGTTGGAGTCGGTGGAGAAGGCGGACCGGGCGGTGCTGCTCGCAGAGCTGCCTCCTGAGTTGCTGCGGGACACGCCCGCCTCCCGAAGCGCCGCGCAGGGGAGAGAGCCGGAGAGCGAGGAACAGAATTAGATCCCCTCCTCCTCCTCCTCGTATGGGGTTGTAACTGCGTGGCACACAAGAGGAACACCAGAGGCACTGGGGAAAAGAGGGGGAGGGGGTGGAGAAGCTCGAGGAGTTGGTGTCGCGTGCGATTCTCGCGTTATTGATGTTTTCGCCTTTATGCAGTTTATGTGGCGAGCGCAGTGAAAGGGGGTTTTGTTTTTCTGGTTTTGTTGTTGTCGTCATCACCGTTATCATCACACAATTATTCGCGCCGTCCATACGGCAACACACCGCGTCGGAATTCGAAAAGATCGATGTGGTGAGCGGAGACTGGGTTAAAGAGAGAAAGAGTGGGGGGGGGGG